ACCGGTCACTGCTGAAACCCTGAATGCTGTCGATCAAATTCTTTACAAGCAGAGGGAGGCACACCGTCAGATCATGGACTTGACTGAAAGATCACGAGACCCGGACATCCGTAATCGGCCCAAGTACGCAGAGGTGGCTGAGATCATGCGCCGACTTGACGAGTTGAATTCGAAACCTAACGGGACTTTGGACCTCGAGCGGGAGCAGAAACGCCATGAAGACTGGATGCGAGAGGGTAAGAAGCTGTTTGGCAAAACCAACGCACCGCTCCACATTCTCAAGAGCCACATGGACTACGTCTTGGAACGCAACCAAGACTGCTTCGATATCGTCAACGACAAGCCTCGCATGCCTGCCGAACCCGCGTCAAGGGAAGCCAGTCCCGACCAAAAGGTGCACCGCTGGGAGGACCCCCGGTTCCGCGAGGTGTTTTGCATTTGCCGAAAGGTGGAGGCCGGCATGATGATTGAGTGCGAGCTCTGTCACGAATGGTATGTTTTGGTGTGGCCTTTTAACATCTACAAAGTTAACTAACGTCTCTAGGTACCACGGCAAATGTCTGAAGATTGCTCGTGGCAAGGTCAAGGATGAAGACAAGTACACGTGCCCCATTTGCGATTGGCGGGTCAAGATCCCGCGAGATGCAGCGCGACCCAAGATCGAGGAGCTCATTGCTTGGTCCGATAAAATTCCTAGCCTCCCATTCCAGCCCGAGGAGGAGGAGGTCCTTACCAAGATTATCGACAATGCTCAGGACTTCAGAAACCACATCACTGGCTACTGCAATCCTGTGGTCTCCACCGAGTCCGAAGCGGACACCCAGCGCTTCTACTTGCGGAAGATTGAGGGCGCTGAAATCTTGCTTGCCTACGAGACCAATTTCTTCAGACAAGAGTTACACAAGTGGTGCCCCGTTGCGCCGAATGCACCGCCGGTTCTTGAGGTCTCCAAGAGCACTCGCAAGCCGCGACCGACTAAGCTTCAAAAGCTTCTGGCGCAGTTTGGGGTGGACGATGCGGAAGACCTCCCGGAGAACATGAAGGCCAAGGCTGCCAGCTTGAAGCGGAAGGCTCAGAATGCCGAAGCTGCCGCAGCCGCCGCTGCAGCAGCGGCTGCCACATCTGCATCTGGCGCGACTGTGCTGCCACCCGGCCTTCAACATGGCCACAGTCGAAAGTCGGAACAATCGTCTGCGACGCCTCCTTCTACCTCCCACGGCAACGTGGGCCGTCAGTCCATTGGAAGTAACCATGATCCCATGGACATTGACAGTGCCCCAACACTTCATCCAGGCCTCTTCATGTCCAATGGTGCACCGGGCCCCCAGCTTGTCGGCGGCAATTCTTCGATGTCCCTTGAGGAACGCCTCCTCCAGGGCCAAGAAGATGGGCTTAACCTGCACACCGAGGCTGGGAGGAGTCACGCTCTTGACATCCTGCGCCGGACAGAAGTTGGCCGTAAGAGGGCAGTGGAGATGTTTGGTCCCGACGTGTTCAAGGGCGACGTTGGTATGCTCAACGGCAGGGATGTTGCTCCGCATTCACAAGAAGATGAGCGAGTGGTGAACAAGATGTTTGACGACCTTACAAACCAGGACGATGACGAAGTCAAGAGAAAGCAAGAAACCTTTGATGGCCCTATTACAGCGGAGAGCCTTGAAAGTGAGCGAAACGGCATGGATGCATTGCTCGACGGCGACTAGGACTTCTGGCCTGCTCCATCCTGCTTCAGCTTTTGAACTATCCAATGGCGACAAAGGCTATTGGAACAGAAGGCTTGGAGTTTTATTTCTTATGTCTTGGCGTTTGTGGACAAGCTCTTGGAGCCCCCGTGAAGGAGGGGAAAAGATCAAATGGGTGGATTGTATGATCAGGTGTCTGGAGGTCAAGGCATACCACTTTGCATTAGATGGAAAATGGGCGTTTGCGAGTGTGCTAGATGCATCACTCAGTTTCAGCTATCGTTTGTAATGGTGTATCGCATTGTCAAAGAAAAGTTAGTGACGAATGGGAAAAAGTACTAGTAGTTTGTTTCTTTTGGACTTCAATAATACCATCACTGTGCGCCACATGAAGTTATCTGCAAAGAACCTGCCTTTCCCACCTGTAAAGATTCAGTAATGCATGGTGTGTTTTGTCTTGATATCCCGAGAAACCGACCCGCAACATTGTAAGTTGTAGGGTATACACAATCAAGAGAGGCAGCTTGACATGTTCAAAACAGTTTGGCAGAGAGTCCCTTCTTGAGTTGGCAAAAACGCTTCAAATTTTGACATAATTATATAACCTTCCCTAAATCACGGTCATGATATTTCATACAACTCATTTCCCTCCCAATATCCGTTTTCTTTACAAGCCAAGTGCCTTAGCAATGGCCTTACCGACGCCGTGGGCGGAGGCCGGGTTCTGGCCGGTGATGACGATGCCGTCGACGACGACCTTTTCGCCCCAGGGCTCGGCGGCGAGCTCGTACTTGCCGCCGTTCTCCTTGAGGCGGTTCTCGAGCAAAAAGTTCATCTCGGGGGTGAAGCCAGCCTGGTCCTCCTCGGTGTTGGAGAAGCCGGTGACGGTCTTGCCAGCGACGAGGTAGGAGCCATCGTTGAGCTTGGCATTGACGATGGCGGCGGGGCCGTGGCAGACGGAGGCGACGGGCTTGTTTTGGGCGGCGAACTCGGCGATCAGGGCGTGGGAGGTTGCGTCGAAGGCGAGGTCGTACATGGGGCCGTGGCCGCCAGGGTAGAACTGGGTAGTAATGTTAGTTTTATTGTCTACGTCATAAGAGATGACTGTATTGAGGGGAGACATACGATGGCGTCGAACTCGGAGGCGCGGCCGACAAAGTTGGAGAGCTTCTCGGTGTTCTCCCAGATGGCCTTATGGTTCTCAAGGAAGTTCTTGGAGGAGGGGTCACTGGCGAACATCTCGACAGAGGCCTGGTCGAGGGGCGCGATGCCGCCCTTGGGAGAGGCGAAGGTCATCTCGACGCCGGCTTCCTTGAGGACATCGAAGGGGTGGGCGAGTTCAGGCTGGGAGACAATTAGTTCACCGGGACTTGGGGTGGGAACGAGGGGTGGTTTGCGATCAACGTACCAAGTACCAGCCGATGGGCTTGCCAGACTTCTCAGTCTTGTCGACGGAGGTGAGGACGATGAGAACCTTGGGAGCCATTGTGTGTGATGGTGTGTGTGTATGTGTGTGTATGAAGGGGTGGAAGGTTGGTGGGAAGAGTTGGTTGATTTGTTTGATAGGGTATCTTGGGTATCAAAGTTGAGTGTAATGAGCTTCTATTCAACACTGTGTGTCCGCGCGGGGCATCGAGCTCTTTTGTAGTTTCATCGCAACCCCATCATACACATGGGTAGCTCCATCGACGGTCTGGCCATCATGGTATTCATCTTTAGGCCATGACCCCACCATTGGGAAACAAGCAGCTTGTCCGGGATGGCGTTGAGCTTATCCCCCTGGCACGAAGCGGAATGTGCTGTCTAAGGTGCGGAAAGGGGGGAAGGGAGTGCATGAAGAGCTTCACCCCGCCAATTGGTCAGGTTGACGTCACACCAGTGATGGTTTTCACTGAGTTCTTCCCCTGCCCTATGCTTCGCCCTCTTTTCAACAAAGTGATGACTGAGTGACATGTGCCGGGGTTGAATTTCGGGCCCGGCAGCAAGTATCTCTGGCTCTTGGTATGACTCGCTCATGTCTGTACGCTGGCAGTGGGTGGAAGTGACTACACCCCGCGCCAACAAATTCTTCATGGTAGTCCCGCGGAAAGGACTCCACAGCTTCTTTTTCGAAGAAGTGCGGCGTACTACCGCGGTGTGTCTGTGAACCTGAGTGTTTACGCTGGGGTGACAAAGCAATGCGGGCGAATAAACTCTCCGATTGCTTCCATGCCTTGCCAGAAGGGGCATCCGAGCATCTGGAGGGGGGCCAAGGGTCTGGGGTTTGCTTGTTGCAAATACGACGAGCCGAGTGGATGAATCGGCCAGAGCGAGTGGGGTTTGAACAAGTTTGACGGAGAAGATCGTCTCTTTTGGTTTCTCTTGGACTCGTTACATGGTGGAAATTGGAATTGGCAAGTTGATCAAAGACATGGCTTACTAACAGTCGAGTAGAAAAGCCTTAATGCCGATGGGGCGAGTCGCCATAACGCCGATGGATGTATCTTGTATTGCTCCGTGGAGAGGACGCAAGAGCCAAGATGCGCCCCTCACCACCGGCGTTGATGCCCTTTCCGGCACAGATTCACCGGACCATCGGCCAACTTGGCATGAACATCACGGAACCCAACGGCACAGTGACACAAGTGATAGCACCGCCCTTTTCCTTGTCGGTTTTCCCAGTGTTTCCACAGCGGCATGGAACCATCGGAAGTGGATCATCACCTCGACGGCCTCGGCTCGTATCCACAAGGCCAGACGGCAGGACGTATAGCATTCGGGGGTGCCGCGGTATGCGTGTATCGCGCGCACACTTCTTCCCGAAGGTATACCAAGACTCTAACCAAGATTCTAAAGATGTGACAATAGTAGTGTTTGCAGCTAGGTTTTTGGTTGGCTTGGGTTCGTACATCACTCTCAAACGACCATTCTTCAGCCAAGATAGCTCTTACATGAGACGAACGGAACATGAATCGTGTTTGCATCGAAGCTGACCAACTGCCCCAACGTCTTGGACGACAGCTGTCGCGGCAAGTTATTAACAGCATCTCTTTTTCATATTCGACTCCGTAATACGGCGGAGTTTCAATGCGATGCGAGAACGAGATGAGCTTCAACACGACAGGATGCATGCCCCCCTGCCCGGATACTCTAATTCGCAACAGATGCGAGGACGTTTCTTCCGCCTACTCACATACGCGACGACTATCATGAAAGCAGACATTGCCGCTTCAGATGGCCGGCCGTTCTGGTTCTTGGGGTTTCTGTCCCCAAACCGACATCCTACATCCATCATCGTCAGCGCGGGTAGTAGACAACCAACAAACGACAAGGAAAGACTCACACCGTGATATACGCGTGGATGTTCTTATCCGCCATATCCTTCCTCACATCCATGAGCAACATCTCGGCATCCTCTCGAGTCCAGCCAAGCACCTGGCAAAATATCTTCATCGTGATACCCTGCACCCCCTCGAGGTTATTCGTCATCTGCATGGCGCCTAAAATCTTTTGGTTCCTCCCCTTCGCCCAAGGCGACGCCGGCACCGCAAACCTCTTCTGCTCGATGTTTTGAAAACCCGCGTCCGCCATGTGTCGCGCGTACTCAAAGGCAGAGAGCGCGTCCCGTCCGGCTTTGCGAATCCCCTCGAGCAGGTGATCGTTCCACCGCCGCAGCGCCGTGCCCTCGAGCGACCCGTCCACGGCCTTGAAGTCGATGACGGTCTCCTGGAACTCGACCCAGCCGCCCGGGTTGAGGTTCTCGTAGATCTGGCCAAAGAGTTTGGGAAGGTCAAAGATGGAGGTGCACATGTACCGGCCGTGGACGTAGTCGAATTTCTGGCTAAACGCCCACTCGTCCTCGGCGTCGTCGATTTCGAAATGGCAGTTGGCCGGGACGTATTCCGGCTGGATGGGGCTCAGATCCGTGCCGAGGACCTCCGATGCCGGGTTCCTGTCGGCGAACTCGATGGCCCAGATGCCCGTGCCTGTGCCGATGTCAAGGACGCGGTGAGGATTGGAGACGGGGGCGAGGCCGAGCTTGTCGTTGAAGATGCGCAGGGCAATGGCGTGTTGGAGATCCAGGCGGCTTTGCTCTTGCTCGGGGGTGTGTTAGTTTCACTCATGGGCTTGGCAATATTGCATGTACGGGGGTTTCGCAAACCTCATCATTGGGGAGGAAGTATTCTGCGGGCAAGGTATCAGTCAGCAGGCTTCCAAGAGGCAAGTCTCTACATACAGTCGCGCCAACTTACTTCCTTCTTTATATGCGTGATATGTTCTGCCAAACTCCTCCACGAAGCGGTACACGCTCGATGCCACCGAAGCAGACGAGGAGGCGCGGCCAGCATCGATTCCCATGGCCGAGTCAGCGTCGCTGATGTCCGTGTCGATGCTCAACGACACAGATGTGCTACTGTCAATGTGCGACGCGTTCAGCTCGTCGAGTGCGCTCGACGTCAGCCTGCTGGAGCGGTCATCGTCGATCGTCGATTGCGCCGTAAAGATGCTGCTTTTCTCGTCGTTGGGTTCGTTCCGTTCCTCTGCCGGGGCCTCTTGCCTCTCGACTGTGCCGCTTGAAGCTTCCATCGTCACTTACATCAATGGTCACAGAAGATGTTGCAAGTCGCGACACTTTCTGAATGCGAGGCTGAGCTGAACAAAAAAGTTGTCGCAAGCGCAGAGCGAGCCTTACCCCCCCAATCCCAAAAGCTGACCTTTTCCGGAGGCTATTCGACCATGGCGTCAGATTCCCTTATCTGGTAGTGTCTGTCTGGTTTCCTCCAATTCCAGCCGAGGGGTTCTGCTGGTACCGAATCCGCTAAGAGGTCGACCCCCCCGCGAGATTCATCTTAGCGGCGAGCGAGTCTGGCGAATCAACATCCGAGACATCAAGTCACCATTGTCTAGATGGTGACGCTAGACTCGATAGTCACTCTTGCAGGTTGGGGAATTCTGCTGAAGCTGCTGCTTCTGTTCAGGCGCATGACGTGCATTTTGCCGATGCCGATACGGGACAAATGTGAGGATCTGCATAAAGGCTTTATGAGTTTCTTGTGTTACCAAGTGTCGGAATTCGCTGCACTTACATGGAATTTCTGGAACTTTGGTATGGAGAAACCAAATCATATGTGAACATCAAACTTATATACACCTAACACGTATGAAAATTGAAGGGAAGAGGACAAGGGCAATTAGCTGACTTGATTAACTGAACCAAACCCCAAATGAGACACCAAGGTAATTGCAACACCTAGAAAGGCATGGGCAACTTCGGAACATACGCCTCCTCGAGATACTTAACCTCCTCCTCAGAAAGCTCAACCTTAGAAGCGCCTACAGCCTGATCAATCCTCTCCTTGGTCTCCAGCCCGCAGATGGGCATGCATCCCTTTGAAATAAGCCACGCCTGCGCAACCTGCGCCATGCTCACGCCCTTCTTCCCCGCCAGCTCCTCCACGCGCCCGACAATGGTCCTGTCGGCGCCATTCTCCGCGCCGCGGAACAGCATCTGCAAAAAGGGGTCCTTTTGCTCGCGCGGGTCCGAACGATCGGTCCACGCGTGGGTGAGGACGCCGGCGGCGAGGGGCGACCAGGGGAAGAGGCCGACGCCGGTGGCGTTGCAGTAGTCGTTCATTTCGCGCTCTTCTTCGCGGTAGAGGAGGTTGTAGAGGCCTTGCATTGAGATGAATTGGTGCCAGCCATTGCGGGCTGCTACGTTTTGGAGCATTTGGAACTCCCAGGCGGCCATCTGGAGATGTCGTTAATGACTTGAACGAAACTCGAGATATTTGGTAGAGGGTGTTTTATTGGGAACTCACCGAGCTGGCACCAATGTAACGGACCTTGCCGCTCTCAATAACATCGTGGAGGGCCTTCATAATCTCCTCGGGGGGCACGTCACGATCCATCCTGTGGATCTGGAGCACGTCAATGTAAGTGCCGAGACGCTCAACACTACGGTCCACGGCCTCGAGGATATGCTTCCTCGAGAGGCCGACCTGGTTCACGCGGGGCCCATCGTTACTGGTCAAGTTGGCTGGGTCGATGGGTCCCTTGTTCTCGTCGACGAATTGGAAGCATTTGGACATGACGACGAGCTTGGAGCGGGGGATGTTATACTCCTTGATGGCGGCGCCGACGATTTCCTCGGAGCGGCCGTTGGAGTAGGTGTCGGCCACGTCCCAGGTGTTGATGCCGCGGTCAAAGGCGTACTTGAGGATGGGGAGGGCCTCGTCCTTGTCGAGGAGCCAGGGCTGCCAGTTCTTGTCGCCGAAGCTCATGCAGCCGAGGATGATTTGGGAGACCTTGAGGCCGGATTTGCCCACGCTGTTGAGGAGATGTCAGATGGGCTTCTTATGGTAGTGGGGAGTATTAAAAGAACCTACCGCACATATTTCATGGATTCCATAGTGAAAAAAAGTCGGATATTGATGTGTACAGTAATATAACTAGTAGAAGAAGACGATAAAGAGAAGCTTTCGAACGTGTAAGTGATAGGAGTGTTGGAATTAGAGAAGCGATTCTCATCATGGCCCAGACAGCCCTTTATACTTTTCAACCTAGAACAGAACTCCAAGAGCAACATCAATCAATACAGCAAAAGGCATCCCTCTCGTCGACTAACACGTTCGCTCTCGGCATCACAGCATGGGTGTTGCCCGCATCACCGGGCCCGGGCACCGGCTCGAGGCCCACAAAATAATCCAATTGCATTAGCGCCCTTCGGTTCTGTGTCATGACACGGCGCGGTTACAGGAACCGGGGAAACATGGAGTTAGGGGAGTTGGCTGACTCTCGGCGAGTTTGGTCAATCATTCGATCACATACCGTAGCGGTGATTATAAGGCACCTTGAGGCAAGTCTTACTGTGTATCTTTAGGGGAAGCTATAATGTCGTCGAGCCAGTAACACCAAGGCGAAACATGCCCCCATCCTCAAGGACTGACATTGCCAAGAACGCTTGAGGTACGGGTCAATGTTCGCACCAAACAGCTGCCAAAGGCTTGCAAATTTTACGTTTCCACTACTTGGCCATTTGATGTCAATGTGCTTGGTTGTCTCCGGGCTGGTTTGATAAAGCCAAAGACGAGCAATAAGAGTGTCAATGCTTCTATCATCATGTTGATAGCATCGGTCAACACTTCTTATGATAGTTGCTAAAGCAATTCGGAGAACAAGATCAGTGATTGACACGCAGGAAAATATTCTTTTCTTGAGAACACAATATATTCCTAAAAAAATATCGGAAGAGTTCACGTAGGTAGATATTATGTTTCGGTAGAACTTGCTGAACGCACCTTCCGCTGCCGATTCCTGTTGGCCCCACACCGAGCATCTCACCTTCCACCGTGCAGTGGGCTGAATCTGCGCTGCACCGTCCCGAGCTCATCCCCTAGCTTAGCCGTGCCCCGTCCTACCCCAAGTTTCCATCACTCAGCCTCGTCTTCATCCTCCAACACAAGCATCTTCGTCGTCGCGTTCACCATTTGAAATTATATACCACCGGCGCGATGGCGCAACAGGACGCGCCGAAGCTCCTCTGGAACCCAGACAATGTCAAAGACGTCGCCGAGTCCGTCGGAATTCCCAACCTAAACGACGATGCCTTGCGATGCCTGACGCAAGATGTCGAGTATCGAATCGGACAAGTCCTCGTCGAGGCGCTGCGCTTCATGCGCGCCTCCCGTCGCACCACTCTGACCGTCAACGATATTAGCACCGCGCTCAAGGCTCTCAATATTGAGCCTCTCTACGGATACGACTCGACGCGTCCACTGCGATATGGCGAGGCTAGCTTGGGACCCGGACAACCGCTCTTCTACCTCGAAGACGAGGAGGTCGATTTCGAGAAGCTTATTAACGCTCCTCTGCCCAAAGTGCCGCGTGATATGAGCTTCACGGGTACGTCATTGTTACATTCTTGAATTCATTCCCCAATGTAGCGTCTGCTAACCGCTGCATATCCAGCACACTGGCTCGCCATTGAAGGCGTCCAACCCTCCATCCCGCAGAACCCCACCACAGCCGAATCACGAAGTCAAGAACTCGTACCAAAGGGCCAGGGTGCTAACCCTGCCCTCGCTGCCCTCGCCGGCAACGACAACCTCTCGTTCCGTCCCGCCGTCAAGCACGTCGTCTCCAAGGAGCTCATCCTTTATTTCGAAAAGGTTCAAAACGCCGTCCTTGATGACAACCCCGACGAAGAAGTTGTGCGCCTCCGCCAGGCCGCCCTCGAATCCGTTCGCGATGATCCGGGTCTGCACCAGTTGATCCCTTACTTTATAAACTTCGTCGCGAATCAGGTCACCCACCGTCTTGACGACGTCTTCACACTTCGCCAGGCCATGGAACTTACAGCCGCCCTCATCGCAAACACCAAGCTCTACCTCGACCCTTACGCCAACTCTATCGCCTCTCCCGTGCTCACGTGCATCCTTAGCCGTAAAATTGGTGCCGAGGATGGTGCGGACGCCATGCGTGAGCAATACCAGCTCAGAGAATTCTCCGCGTCCCTCCTTGGCCAGATTGCGCGCAAATACGCCGCCTCGAATAATCTGCTGCGGCCCAAGCTGGTGCGGACATGCTTGAAGTTCTTCATGGACCCCGATAAGCCGCCCTCGACGCACTTTGGTGCCATCACGGGTGTTGCGTCCGCTGGTGGTCCCGAAGCGGTGCGCGTTCTGGTGCTCAAGTGCCTGAGGGCCTACAACGATAACATTCTGCAGCCTCTCAAGGACAAGGGCGAGAGCATCGAGTTTGAGATGCTTGTGGGTGGAATTCTCAAGGCCATTGCTACAATGATTGAGGACGATAGAACGACCGTCAATGGCATAAACGGGAGCGCCAACAGCTATGCTGCTGAGCTCAACGAGTTCATCGGGCCCATCCTCGGAGAGCGGCTGAACAGCCTAGGCAACCGGAGACTGATCAAACATGTCTTGGATGCTAGGAATATTGAGTAGCAGCCTGGCTAGTAGTGATAGTCCTTGGGAGGCGTAAAGGCGTTTGGATCAGGCATGGCAAAACATGGTTTTAGGGAGGCATACCACATAAATTGAGACCATTGGCGTCTAGTAATTAACCCATTTTCTACTCACGGTCTCTCAAGTAATGCTTGTACTTTGTAGCTCGTGAGAAAGGCCGGCGAGGATGCCAGGGCGTGAACCACTCCACTATTATTGTTCTATTCCAGCGCGAATCTCTTCGTCGATCTGGTTACAAGCTCGATATGCTGTTCCGTTTTGAACGTCCCGCAGGAATGAGGTTTTCATGGTCAAGGCATCACGAACGAAGTCTGTATAGAATAGTTGGAACAATTGATTAACATGCTTGTTACTCAAGGGAATTCGTTTTACAGCTTTCAGTCTATACAATCCCTCTTGCCTTAAGCTGAGGGAGGCCGTACGCCTAGCAATTTCCAGGCGCCAACCAATAAAACTCCAGGTTAACCCCCCAAAATCTCCCATCTCTCTTCGTCTTCCTCTCGTCCCCTTCGATCCCTGTGACCGACCACCATCATCCCCTCCCCGTACCCGATTACCATGTGCCATTTCATCCACTGACCCTTTCACCGCTCCCCGCTGACTTCTCAGTTTACCACGCAAAGGCGAGGCCGACAGCCGCGACGAGCGAGCTGGACCAGATAACCCAGCCCCACTTGACAATCTCAGGCTTGGCGAAGCCGAGGGCGAAATCGTAGGTCAAGTGGCGGATACCGTTGAAGAAGTGGAAGGTGAAGGGCCAGGCGACGAGGAACTTGAGACCACCCTTGGCGGCGAGCGGGAGGGCACCGAAAGCGGCGATGAGGGACTGGCTCTCGACGTGCCAGCCGAGGAGGGGCGCGACGAGGTAGGTGCCAAAGTAGACGTAGAAAGCGGCCGAGAGACCACCGCCGGTGATACGGGTCCAGATGGAGGCGCCGAACCAGGTCTGCTCCATCTTGTAGATTGTCAGGTGCGGGGAGATGGGGCGGCTGAGGCGCTGCTTTGCGAGAAGCTCGAGGCCATCTTGGGGGGTGAGCTTGGTGGTTGCGACGGGGCTGTGAGGTTGGAAAAGTTAGTTAGTATTGTGATATTGGTCCATCGAGTGTGTTGGGTGTTTGGTTCGTTTTGTGAGGGAATAGTCGGAAGCATGTGCTTCAAAGGCAAAGGAGAAACGCGGGAGGGCCAATTGCGTACCGAGACTGGCTCGTCGACATGCTTTGTGAAGCGACGATCTTGGGGATCTGCTGGTTGAAGAAGACGGAGGGCTTTGCTGCCGCTGTCGATTGTGTATTTCGTCAGCCTTCCACTGTCCTGTGTTCCATCCGGGGCTTCGATGATGTAAACGAACCTCGGCGCATGGCCGACACGCCCACCCTTTGCGCAATCATTGTGTCGGTATGAAGCGTAATAAACCTGGTGATCGATGCGATTTCAATATCGGGGAGGGCGCGTAGGGTATTCGGCCGCAGGCGGAGGGGATTCGAGTCGTCGGGGGTTTGAGGGTGTTGATGTCAAGCTCCTTGCACCAAAGAAGAATAAATTGGAGACTCTGCACCTTGGATCACTGGACTCTCCGATTGAAGCGAAGCACGGGAATCCCCTCGGCTTTTCGGCTACCCGTGGACCAATCAGCGCAGACCACTTCCTAAGCTTTCTGGATCACGTGATTTACGCCGCAAAGGGACAGGAACCACGCTGGGCGCTGCCGGAAAAAAGCTTAGACGAGAACCTCAGGGTAAGGACAGGGCCCACTAGACGGCCATTAGCTAAGCACCACCCTCCGCACAGACCATCCTGGAAAATTCTCTCGTGGCACACAAAACCGCGTTGACCTTGCGCGCAATTTCCTCTCGCTTTTTCCTTTTCCTCTCTTCAGATAGCAACGGCCGCCCGCCGCAGCATAACTAATGGTGGCCTTTTCTCCTTTGGGAGAGAATGGTTCACCCATGAAAGGCGCTGCTGGTAAAACCCTTGGGTTGTGGGTGGTTGGAGAGTAATACTGGGATTGGATCCTTCGTTGATCTCGGGTTCTGGTTTGCACCGTCTAGAAACCGTTTCATTTATAGGCATCTACATACTTTCGTCATTGACGTGATATTTCTGTGGTCCTTTGAGGGCATGCCGTCCGCGCTTGCGCTTCTCAAATGGTCAAATGATGTTGAATGCCCCTGTTGACAGCTGTCGCTGATCGGGGCCTGATCATTGCCGACGTCCACACTGCGGTCAATCCACCCGGTTATCATTGAGAAAATGGCCACACGGAGTACCTGCCTCGCGAAGCCGGGAAGACCTGCGTACGTGTCCAAGGACCAGACGCTACCGATCTCATTATCGTGAGATGTGCTGCGGGTGCTGTCTCGTGTTGCCATCCACCAGAGGGCGTCCTGAGCAGAATGCATGAAGCTGTCGATCATCCATGTCGGCCTGACTTCCAGTTAGTAGTCACGACGTATCTAATTTCGTTGGATGCCTTCAACGCCTACAGGCGTTTGAGTAAGCCCAGGCTGAGGACTATGCTTTCAAAGAGGTTCCTGCGCTATCATTGGTAATTGGGTGGCTATCTTCCTCTGATCATGGCTTTTCGGTTGGTTCAACTTCACGTGAATCCTTCCTTGTTTCTGATCTCGGCCTAACATGGATGATCATTGACGTGTAGGACCGTCGGTCTCGGATTTTTTCCAAGTAACGACACTACCAAGTAATGAGAGTTCCGTCAGCCTCACATCTTTGGCCAGTAGCTTAAGTCATGAGTTAATAAGAATAAGCTTTTAGGGACGGTGGGCGAACTGAGTTCGCGGCCCGCGTTGGTATCTACTCTGTGGGCGATTTTTAATTGAGCCCCTACAACTACGGCCCGTGCAACTTTCCTTCACTTGTTTTCTTATTTCTTCCAAGTGCTGGGTATGATGCTACACTGAGTGCTCAATCGTGCTGACTTGCGGTAGCTAATCGTATTAATGGTTGTTCTTTCGGCAGTGCCGAAGATAGCGATGCACAACCGGTAACGCGGACAATAAGGTTTGGGGCTATGGAGATGCCTACGTCTTACATCAATCTCTTATAAAGATCAGGAGCATTGTTGAACTGTGCGAAACAGAGCGATATTCAGGAAATACGATATCCAGCTGTTTTTGGTACCGTGAGCGAGTCAGAGCAACCAGCCGGACCACAGAAGCAAAGACTCTGGTGCCGTCGATTGATGGGCCGCAATACCAAATTTTCGGCAACTTTCGCCGCGTGGTGGCAGCTAGCAAGCACTCTGCTGTACAGATCATTACAGCGGACCACATAACTGATCCCCTGATCACTCATTGTTGCAACTGCAATGTTGCGAGAAAATGCCCAGGCATTAGAAGGAGTTATCCCGGCTCAAGAACCTACTGAACAATGCTCGTGTGACTGAGCATGTTTAGCAACTGGCTCAATTCAGTTGATGTCGGTTTTGAGCTGGACGACACGTACATTTCTGTCAATTGATGAAATAATCTCGAATCATTGTACGGATAGCCCACACTCTCTAATGAAGCATAAAGCCAGATGGGTCCACAGGACCAGTCGTTGACAACCTGGGTCCTGGTTAGTGACAACGGTGGGAACAGCAGAAATGACCATGGCATGAGTCTGATCACGACAACTCGTATAAACAAAGTTTCTCTGACTTAGACTCAGCAAATTAATGACCGAAAATCTTTGGTGGTAACATCTGGTAACGTGAGTCTCATTAGGCATTTAAATCAAAGCGTGTCCTTGAGGCTATGAGTTCACACTGCCTGTCAATCATTCATCAACTCTCCAACTAGTCTAATAAACCGCCAATTTTAACCCAGTATCTTTATTCGTAGGTCATTCAACAAGAAGCATAACTTTCAGCAGCACACTGTACTGACCAGGAGATAGAAGATGAAGCTGTCTCTCATCCTCACCGGACTCTACGCAGCCGGTACCGTCACGGCAATCACCAAGAGCTGTCAACCCTTCACGTTCTCGTCCAAGGGAACTGCCTGCACAGATGACAACGGTGCCTGCACTATGGGAAGATGCAAGGACAAGTTCCTGTGGCTTAGGTGCACTTGCCCCGATGACTACCCTCACGTTCACTGCGGCGCGAAGTGCAACTAAGCGGGATTGTGAGAGAGATCTTTTCGGAGCTTGTGTGTTTGAATACTAGGAACCATGACAGATGTGAAGGTCAGGGAGGAAGTCTGACTCCATAGAGAGTGCGTAGCATTGGATTGCTATTGGAAACAGTTCTCTGACCTCGAGTCTAAGCGAGCCGATGGGGTATTATCATCGACAAATACTCGATAAGGAGTCTTCGGCTTATTACATGTTCGCCTTTGAAATATTAACGAAATTTTCAAGCCTTTGTTTTATGTTCATCGGCTGGCTTTTTGTCCTCCTTTCCACGGGCCTCCTCCTTCAACTTGGCATCGTCAGGCCTGCTCAATTCTACTTGTGGCATCAAGAAGAACGCCACAAAGAATGCGACGGCCGCAAGTCCCGCCATAACCAGGAAGATGATGCGGAACGCCCTCCTGTAGCCAGGCAAGATTGCAGCCCTCAGTCTTTGTGCCTCGACTTGAGGTAGGCTGGACAGCACTTGCTGTGGATTTGCGAGAAGCTTCCGAGACTCGTCATCTCCCAGGCCAAGGCTAGCTATATTACTTGCTAGGGTGTTATTACTGTCAAGCACATTGAAGTCAGTTATGCTGAAGAATATCGTGGGTACTTGTGGAGTCGGAAGTATGTGTAGACTTACATGATGGTCCCGGAGATGGCAAGTCCAATAGTGCTTCCGAAATTACGTATGAAGCTATGCGTTGTCAGTCAGATATTTCCGCATGAGACGATATGAAGATGACTTACTTCCTGAATGAGGTAACCACAGCCATGTCTCTTCTACTTACACCGGCCTGGATCGCGATCAGTGCCCTGAGGTGTGTTAGTTAGCTCGACTCGGTAATTCGACACGGGCTTCTCTGCATCACTCACGGCTGTAATGTATTGCCAACACCGGCACCAACGAGTAGCGAGTATCCAACTTGCTTCCCCACGCTTGAGAACTCGTCGAGCGTTGACATCAAACCGATGCCTATGGCCCACATCACCCAACCTAGCAGGATACATTCGCGGTAGCGCCCAACTTTGTGTACCACGAGGCCTGCCAGAGTGCTGAAAAGCGTCTGCGTCAAAGTGACTGGAAGAAGCATGGCGCCGGATTTTGTTGCTGAGTACCCGTAGGCTAGTTGATAGAAGGCGGGGATGTAGTACACCTGCACGACAAAGTTCCATCCGTTGATTGCCATAGTGATACATGCGCCATTCACGATCTTTGACTTGAAGATATGTACTAGGGGCCTCAATCAGTCTCAACCTCACGGCAGTCTGTAGATCAACTCACGTGGCACGAGAGGAAACTTGGCGCCTTTCCATTGCCAAAGGATGAAGCCGACACAGACGAAGAACCCTACAACGAGAGTGGCAATGACGTGCGCTGAGCTCCAAGGATGGTCACCTCCACCCCACGTCAAGCCAAGCATGAGTACGGTTGTTCCAGCTAAAGCAAGAAAGCTTCCAACAAAGTCGACAGCTTTGAGCTTGCTGTGAATTGCATTAGCATTGTCCCAAGTTCAACAGAGGTTGCGTTCGAGTGGAATAGGGACTCACAGCTTCCAGTTGCCTTCCACCTTCCTGAGCGGCATGAAGAAGATGACGCAAAGCGTACATAGAAGAGTGAGTGGCATGTTGAGTCGGAAGATCCATCTCCATGAGTCTTTGGACTGGGAAGCAAGAGCTCCGCCAATGACTGGCCCTATGCCATTTGCAATCGCAACTACAGAACCCTTCAATAAGTGTCAGCAGTTGCATGGAAGAAGGATGGTCTGCGTCGCCCGTAGAAAGCTGGTTTCGTCATCCGATCCCGCGATCACGAACTACGGAGTAAGGCAGCGAAAGACTTACCAAGATGCCCTGATACTTGCCCCTTTCCCTGAGCGGAACCACATCGCTCACGATCATTTGCGCGACGGTCATCAAACCACCACCTCCAATACCTGTCCAGGCTCGGAAGATGATGAGTTGAGTCCCAGTATTTGATACTGAACTGGCGAGAGAGCCGGTGAAGAAGATCGCCAAGCCAATGAGTAGGATTACTTTCCGCGACCAGATATCCGACAGCCGCCCGTAGAGGAGCTGGCCGACAGTAGATGTTCTGGTTGAACCAATTAGTTGCCTTGCTATCGAGACAGCTGATCGCTTGTACTTACATGAAATATCCGCTGGCAATCCATGCTGTCTGATTACTGGCATTGAGAGAATTGCCGATGATGTTTAGACTGGCTGCGAGCGTGGTTTGGTCCATGAGAGCAACGAGATCCACGCTGGCGCAAGCCAGGAAGATCTGGACAGTGATGATCAGTCTCAGGAAGCATTCGCATCCATTTGGCCTAAAACCTAACTTACTGTAATGATAGTCCTTGGACGAACATAATTTGTCTGTTCGTTGAACTCATGCTTGGGTTTCTCATCTTCAGAGCTATTCGCCAACTCTGGGCTGGCCCCAGCTGTAGGTTGTCCAACTACTGAACCATCAGGAGCAGCTTCAGTCAGGATGCCGCTTGTCTTTTCGTCTGGAGCAGCCATATCGAGGATAGAGCGCAAGCATCGACTTACTCAAGAGGGAATGAAGGAAATGTGGCTGCGTGCGTCCAGCTCAAAAGATGCGAGCAACCAGACGAGGAAGAAAACCCGCGGCGTCGGCCGTTCGTAGGATCGGAGACCGAACCCCCGGCCATCAGGGTAAATGGCGACATGCCCAAAGTCGCATCAGTGCGTTGTTAAACACGAGAACCCCTGATCTGTGTCTCTATACTCCCGAATGCCAAGTTGTGACTACCGCTTGTTTCCAAGACTATCGTGACGGTAAGTGGTCCGGTGGAAACGAAACCCCTGCGCGGACATCTGACGATCTGACCCCGTCCGACAGGGATGGGCTTGGCAACGAGAACCCTTGTGGATTGGCTGGATGCTCCCGCGAAACATGCTCAACTTGGGGAAACGAGCGCAAACTAACTCCCCCAAAACTTCGCAATTGAGCTCTCGTTATATATCGTCGAAGCGCAGCGGTTTTGGGTCCATTCAGCACGGCACCTTTGAGCCGGATTACGACTTTATTTGATCGTCCCTTGTGGTCTACTGTTCCTCCTCTGAAGGATGATCGGCACGACGTCGTTACGTATACCCTTGCAGGACGCAGGATGTCGCCTGTCTCACAAGGTACCTCAATGACAAACATGCCTGGCGTCAGCTAACGTGAATAACCTTGATGACTCGTGTCGATCGGCTTTCTTTAGTGTGATGTTGACCAATGTTGACAGGGGCATCGCGTTAGCCTAGGCTTTGGAGGTTGTCGACATCCTTCATTATTGGAGATTGGTTGGGAATGTGGGAAGGGAACGAGCAGAAAGAATGCCCGACATCACTGACAGGCCGAGTTTCATGCGTCTTGATTTCATGGTTGCCCTCTAAAAATGTCACAGTAGAGTTACATTGCCAGATGACGGTCCACTGACCGCGGGTATATGCGGCGTGTAAGAGTGGCCGTGTCTGGGAGGATGATCAAGTGATGCTGTCGAATCATAGCTTGAGCGGTATAGCTGAGTTATTTCCCTCGCCCCCAGACACCTCAGACGATAGGTAAGGTGGTTTGAGAGCAATAGAGACTATAAAGTAGCACTCGCAGTCTCTGATAATGAGACCATCTGATAATCAGTGCCGTTCGATATCACCCTCCTTTGTTTCATAATTCTTTCCCAAGTCATCTCAAGGAACACTGGAAGTAATGGCCCAACCCAATCACCTAAATGTCTATACAGGGCCAGATTCCGTCAGGAACTACTTCGATCCTGACGTTGCCCCGCCGCTGCCACTAGTCGAAGTACCCGAAGCCTTGAACCCCTATCGTCAATATGGCGTCCGGATTTATGCTAAGATGATGTCGATGCATCCTGCAAATAACGTCAAGGCCATGCCAGCCCTTAATCTGCTCCAAAATGGGGTTGTTCCGGGAAAGACAGAGACTATCGTCGAGTATAGTTCCGGCTCGACGGTTATCTCTATGTCATTGGCTTCCAGAGTCTACTACGGCGTCCCAGATGTTCGAGCCTTTCTCAGCAACAAGACAAGTCAGGCGAAGTTAAGACTGATGCAGTTCTTCGGTCTGGACATGTAAGATATCTTGCCTTTATCGTCAAGTATTCGTTGATCCTCGAACGGGATAGCTGACCTTTTACTCGTCAGCACCTTGTTTGGAGGCCCTTCTCAACCTGAGCCTCTAGACCCACGAGGAGGCATTTGTGCCGCAAGAAACATGGGCAGCGATAAGGGCACTGCGCTCAACCCAAACCAATACGAAAATGACGATGTAGGTGTAGTCTAGCGTCTATCAGTCATGAGGAAGCACTAACACATTATCGTAGAATTGGAAGTCCCATGTGCGGTGGACTGGACCCCAGATCTTCAAGCAATTGCCTCAAATTTCTCTCATTTGCGCAGGAATGGGTACTTCGGGTAGGAAAGATGTCAACCCCGTCTTGTCGACAACGTCTAACATACTACTAGGGACTCTCACCGGTCTTGGAACCTACTTCAAGCAAGCTAAACCGTCAGTATACAGACTAGGTGTCTGCACCGCGCCTGGCGACCGTGTTCCTGGTCCCCGTTCCTACGCTCTTCTTCAACCCGTCGAGTTCCCATGGAGATCCGCGGTCGACCACGTTGAGCATGTCGGTTCTCAACACTCCTATTCGCTGTCGCTGGACCTGTGCAGACAAGGCCTCATCGCCGGCCCGTCCTCAGGTTTCAACCTGCAAGGCCTTTATCAGTTTCTTGATAAGCGTATCGCGGCAGGCAATCTGGATGAACTAGCTGACGATTCTGGAGAGATTCACTGCGTCTTTGTTTGCTGCGACTTGCCATACCAGTACATCGATGAGTATTTTGCGAAATTGGGACCTGAGTATTTTCCTGCAATCCACAACGAGGTATGCACATTCACACTCTGCCTAATACATTCGAACGGAAGACTAACATTTCTTTTAGAACCTTACAAAGGTTGACCTTCACCGTTATGATGAGGCATGGGAAAAGACTCCAACTGAAGTCTTGATGCAAATTCCGCCTGCGAGTGCTATTCAGACCAACGAAACCCATTTACCGAGCACACCACGCTATGTCGATACAAGTAGTGCTGCACTTATCCCCCGCCTTCCAAACACGATCATTCTCGATCTGAGACAACGCGAAGACTACCAGACGCACCATATCGCAGGTTCCGAAAACATTCCGATCGTCGAGTCTAGTGACTGGAAGCCGTTCTCTGACTCGAAGGTCCTGGAACAACTATGGCTCAAGCTGGAGGCGACATTTGACTCGAACAAAGATGTTGGCAAACAGTTGGAAGAACATCGACAAAAGCCCATCCTAGTCTTGTGCTACGATGGCGACAGCGCCAGAGTAGCAACTAGTGTCCTGCGTGCAAAGGGCTTCGAGGCCGACAGTATTCGAGGAGGCTTCCGTGCTTTGAAAGAGCTTGAGAGAACTACCGAAGCAACATCGGCGGGTCGTTCTAAAGACGTGCCCGTAACCTCGAGCGTTGAAGAATTGGTTGGTCATCGTCAGCCGTATCTCCAGCTAGCATGAGGCGGAGAGGCACAGTAATGATTTACCACATCCTTGATGAGGATACGAAATGATGGTCCGAAATATTTGCATGAACAAACATCAGAGGGTTCACTTGTAACAGGGGCATAACGCTTGAGCATTAGAGTTTTGGTAGAAAAACATCGAATCTATGACCATCCCAGAATGGCCCCGATGTGTCCCGACGACCAGTGAAAGCCGAGATCCTTTCCACATGCTCTGTATGTGCAATTCGTGAAGCGCTTCCACCATTTGATAATACGTAGTAGCCATCAAGACTACCAGTACGGTCCGCAAGAACCTGTCTAAGCAGCAGCAACAGTGGGCCAATCGTTGTAGTTTTGATTTGGTTCCTCGAACGGCCCGTAATGAACATTGTTGTCTCGATTGTTCTCTGCAAAATGTATGCCATGTTGGATTCGAAAGATGACATCCTGTCATAATGTCAGAATGAAGCCTGAGATGCACGATGAACAAGACACTCACTGGGTTGTAAATGAAAGGCCTGCCAAAGGTGATCAAATCCAACTTGCCTTCTCCTACCAGACGATCCGCCTCGTCGACTGTATAATCGTAGTTGGCCATAGGCATCGAAGGACTTCCAGGGAACTTAACTAAAGGTCCGAAGTCGATGACCGGATCATAACCCAGCGGTAAAGGGAAGCCATCCGGCCGTGTGGTGTTCCCAAAGAAGTCTCCCGTTCCGGTATTGTGGTTTGCACCCCGCCGAGAAAGATTGCTCATGCCAATCCGCCTTTTGACAAGCTCTTTGATGAGATGGGTATAAACATCCTTCATCTCTCCATAAGTCACGACAGAGTCGTTCGTCTGATCTGTCGGACAGATTTTGATACAGACGAACTCGGAACCGAACACTTCGGCCAGAACATCAGACACCTCCAAGATAAATCGGCATCGGTTCTCGACTGAGCCACCATACGCATCGATGCGGGTATTTGCGCGTCTTTTGCTACGTCAGAGTGAAACAGAAATGAAAAACAGTGGTGATGGGCACCCACGAGTTGAGAAACTGTTGAGGAAGATATCCGCTATGTCTATGTCAGTGGTCTCCACCATGTTCAACGAGATATCGTGCCATGACAACGCCGGCGCTTACCCTTGAGCCAAGAGCTCAATACCATCGAAACCAGCCCTCTTAGCGAGGATGGCAGAGCGTCGATACATGTTGACGAAGTCGCGCGGATCGTCGATTTCGGTGATGTTAGGAGTATGACCCTGAACCAGATTAGAATGGGTCAATGTAATTCTTTTGAATGTCATTACTCTCATACCGGTGTGCCAGGGAGATCACGGTACTTGCCCCCCTGAGCTGGGATCTTGGAGGGTGCAACCACCGGATGGTTATTTTCTTGCATTATAGGAATCTGTTCATTTTGGCAGCGACCTAAACAGTCAAATATTAGGAACTTCAAGTCGTTACGTCTCATGCGGGCTCGCTCACCGAGATGCCATGGCTGAAAGTAAATCTTTCCACCCTGGGTATGCACAGCCGCCGTCACTTTCTCCCATGCTTGCGCATGATGGTCGGTGATCATGAGAGGTGCCCACTTCCAATCACAGCCTTGCCAGTCGATGAAAGTGCCTTCTGCAACGATAAGTCCTGCGCCATGTTTCGCTCGTTCTGAGTAGTGCTGAATTTGTTCGTCACCTGGCTTGCAGTCATTCATGCAGCGGTTGCGTGTCATGGAGCCCATAACCACGCGATTAGCTAGGTGGAATTTGTTCCCGACAACAACGGGTTGAAGAAGATTAGACGTGGCGGTAAAGCCTGAGATGAGAATATAGGTGTTGGTTGAGGTGAGCTATCAATTGGGCACTGGCTAGGAGTCTATGAAAAACGATGAAACTTGACAAGTACCAGATTGGAAGTTGTGCTTATATCTATGAATCAGCCTGGATCAGGCGGAACTTCGAGAGTAGAGTGCTTTATGCATTTATTTTTACTGACGTGTGAGTTTGTGGAGTGAAAGGCGTCATGTAGGATCGGCGGCAGGGCGCTAGTCAGATGAAGGGCGCAGGTCCGCGGATGATCGGTCAGCTCGAAAGAACGTGCGACTGGGGCATTGGAAGGCTATAAGAAAATGAGAATTGATGTCATTCTCTCAGATCAGCGCAAATAAAGTCCTCAAGTCGGAAGGGAAACGGGTCGCCTCTACAAGGGCTAATTAACATCCATGGTTCTAGATACTGATGGATCTGCAATAAAAGTCTTCTCCATGCTGCATTGATTGTGGCACGTCATGTCGCGCGCAATGGCCTGTTAAACAGAATGCTACCTAGAATTGGATAATTCGGACAAATTGAGTAGTAGAATCTACTTAGTTGAATACGTCTACAACGTATCTGCTATTCGAAGCTACGCCAAAAGGACTTCTGGACATTATCTGCTGCATCTGTCTCTTTCCCTGTATCATCTTCATCCTTGAACAGGGCGGGGGCGAGGACATCGAACACGGAATCCGAAATCTTCTTCCCGCCGCATACATAGACATTTGCCCCTGCTTCCCACAGAGCGCACACTTCCTTTAGATGGTTCCGAAGCTGATCAGTGACATGCTTGCATGACGTATCTCTGTCGCGGCTGAAGGCCCGGAAGACCTTGGCAGCATTCTCAGCCTCGAAGCCATCAAGTTCATCTCGATACATGTCATCGAGAAGTTGACCATGGCAGCCGAAAAACAGCAGCGCCGGGGCCAAAATGGCACCGGAACGTAGTGAGATTGCGCGGTCTTGTATGAAGCCTCTGAAAGGGGCTAGACCAGCCCCCGCCGCAATCATGATGACTGGCGTCGTCGCTTGGGTCGCGGCGCTTGGAAGGCAGAAGTGAGGTATTGACGGCAAGGGTGAAACAAAGAGCACGCTTCCTGGGCGGAGTGAAGCCAGGTAATTGGAAGCTACACCCTTCTTCTCAACAGTGTAAGTGAGGGTAGCGGAATTGGATTGCCAAGCAGGGGAAGAGGAGAAAGAGTATGTCCGAGGACGCATCCGAGGTAGCATGATCAGGAACTCCGAAAGCGGGAGGTTGAGATCCGGATAAGACTCCAGTACTTCAAGGACACTGAGTCCCCTCTTGCGCGGCTCCGAGCCAAGCAGGCTTTTTGACATGGCCTCTAAGACTCTGCGGGTCTCGTCTGAGACTGCTAGCTCACTCATTACCTGAATGTTTCCAGGAGTTGCCGTACCTGTCAGCTCGACATAGGATGCAAACAAGTCCCACGCTGTCACAGGGGTATTGCTTGGGACCGGGAGTGGGCGTCCAGATTCAGACTTAATCGTGAGGACAACATCGCCGCTCAACCTGAAAAACGATAGAGCTCGGCGCACTAGCTGTGCATCATTCACCGGCAAGATGTGGGCGTGGCCACCAGCTTTATAAGTTGTCCCAGGTGGAAGCTCTAGCTCAAGGTGTCTCTTTGATGGGACCCCCTCGGCCGACAAGGCTCGAATCTCCTTGACTGTGGCTGCAACAAAGCCACTGCGCAAAGCAACCCGTGGGGGATCTTCGAGAGTGAGCTTTACATCGACATCCGACTTTTGCGTGGTCACTTTCATGGCAGGATCTCCCAAAAGGATTGGCCACAAGTCGTCTATCAGCCACTTCTCAACTTCGAGCAAGACATCGGTAGCTGCTGTGTCTGCGGCTCCCAATGCGCAAAGCCTCTGTCCTCCAGCTGTCTCCAAGATTGAGTCAAGAGACCTGGGGACTTTGAACAGAGTCGCTGGCCAATCTCTGTGACCTGTGATACTTATCGTTAATTTGTGTACAGATGCGAAGATACCACTGCGTGTCTGCAGGGGTCGGCGGTAGCTAAAACGTACCACAACCAAAAACGGCATATTTCAACTGCCGCAAGTCTCCGGGCTTTAGGCTTTGAACCCAGGGCACAAACTTAGCTGCGTTGCGAGATGGTAACCCGTTGTAGGAGGCAGAGACAAGTATGACAGGCTGCGTTTTCGGCAGCCGATCGACTGCATCATTCATAGGCAAAACTGTTGGGCTGTAACCCTTTGCCCCAGCATCGACGGCAATTTTCTGAGCCACTGCCTCGCAGGTGCCTGTATCTGAACCAAACAGAATGGTTATTGGGCCGAGCAACGAAGGTTTGATCATCATAGGATCGACAATGGGCTTCGGAATGGGCTCCGGAATCGTTTTCAGACTTTTCAGGAAGTCCGTCGGGCGTTTGCCATTTCTTAAGCTAACATGAACTTTAAAGTTGGCGGGTTTGATGGTGAGAAGATGATTGACCTTGAGTTTGTAGTTGGGGTCGCCTTTAGAAAGGTCGAAGTTGCGCAAAATCATTGATATGACCTACAACAGACGTGAGCCACCAGGAACGTCAGGAAATAGGTCCATATCTGAAGAATTGAGCTACTCACGAGTTGGGCCTCCTGCCAAGCGAATGCTCGACCAATGCAACTACGCATACCGTTGCCGAAAGGTTTCCAGGCATTCTGAGGTATGCCATGCAGGTTTCTCATCCTATCAGGCTTGAAGTCTTCCGCATCGGAACCCCAAACTTTGGGATCACGGTGGAGTGTGTGCAGGAGAATACACAAAGCCTCACCTGGCTTAACCAGATACTTGCCGCCGATGATCTCGTCCTTGAATGGGGTAACATAGTATCCAGGCGCTGTTGGCATAAGACGCAATGTCTCTCGGAAGACGGAGTCCAGGAAGGGGAGTTGCTGTAGATGGTCCACGTTGATTGGGCCGTGGCCCACAACCCTATCCACCTCCTCCCGTGCCCTATTCAACTCTTGGGGATGCTCTACTAAGTAGTAGATGGCGAAAGACAGAAGACCTGAAGTAGTCTCGTGACCGGCGACCAGGAAAGTGATGATGTTGTGCACGATTGCCTCTTCGCTCAGTGAGTCACCAGTCTCCGGGTCTTTGCCGTTGAGCATAGCATCGAGGAGGTCATTGGGCATCTTTTTGCCATTGGCTTGACGCCTCTGAGCAATGATCTCGCGACAAGTAGCCTGCATCTGCTCGATATTGTTCCGAAACTTGGACATTGCTCTGGGCCGAAATAGACTGAAAACGTCAGGAAGAACAGCTTGTAGATCCGCTTCAGCGAGTACTTCCACCATGCTCTCCACGAATGGATGAGCTTTCTTGTCGAGATAAAAGCTATTGAAGCGATAGTCCATGGCGCAAAGCGAAATGGTGTCTAGCGTCAGTCGGGTAAAGTCATCAGCAACCTCAATTGGCGCAGAATGACAATGTCGGGCCCTATTGCTTGTTAGCCAGACGGTCACTAGATATCCGGTTGCCTCTTTAAGGACTCCTCACCATTTGAGACATAATTGCTCAGAAAGATCGGACATATCGTCAAACATACTGCGGATTTTCAATGGTCCAAATACCGGCATGAGGATGCGGTGTGCGACACCCCAGGCATGATTATTGTGCTGCGCTGTGAAGAGTCCATCGCCGGCTGCTGCTCGCATTGTCTCAACGCCGCTCGTGACGATCTTGCAAAATCGATTCTCGTCGCTGACTTCATTTACAAGCTCACGACTTGAGACAGTTATCTCTCTCGTGCCGGCGAAGGTAAGAGAGAAAATAGGGCCTGGAAAATCAGCACAAGGAACCTACACACGTGTGTTGTTTAAAAAAAAACAGGAAAGTCCAGAAATTTACCGTATCTGCTAACAAGCCCAATAAGGGAGTCCAGAGGGCTGACGAGATCGATGTCCAAGATGTTGCCAAGGATAGGCAATGCTAAGGCCTGATCAATACTGTGCCCCTTGATTCAGATGGAAGGAATGTTTTTTGCAGACAACGTACGTTTTGGCCCAGGAATAGGGACTTCAATGCCAAGGGAAAGCTTGGTTGACTCGTCATCGATACCTACGTCCATGGCTGAGACTTGGAAGGATCTTGATCACAGAGCTTATGATCTGTGATAGTATCGCTCTGGGGATATCAAGGTATAGGGAAGACTGGACAAATGTACAACTTGAGATAATTCAGAAACCCAAGGTTTCTAGACCGTGATTTGAGAAGAATGCCAAGAATAATGCAGAGACTTTGCACAAAGACTTCAATGACAGCTTCTTGAGGGGATGAGCAGGCTGCCTTCGAAGGCTCTATTCCGACGGAAGTGCCAATTATCGGTCTCGCTAGATGCGAATGCTGCATTGCGCGGAATCTGTCTCATGATTGAGGCAAAATAAAGTTTTCGATGAAGGAGCAGATAGAAGCAGACCGTCTCAGCTTCGGCACCTGCAACCGTTGATGGTTTCTTCAGACCCACGAGGGATTTTTGCCGAGGGCGTTACCTCCAAACTTTCCGGCGTCGAAAGGTACATGCGATCCCGATAGGACTACTTACTTACAGTACTCTATGCGGAAGGATGCTATCAGAAGGTTTGTATTCTTGAATAGGACTTTGAGCTGTGGCCGGAAATTTCGACAAGTCAAGCCGGAGGCGCAGACGTTGGCGAGAGAACATATGTCAGAGCTCCTACAACCTCCGGCTCCACTGACGGTCATACGCGAGGTTATGTTATTGTGACGAGACTACTAAAGTCAAGGTGATGTATCTTTGAAGATGCCCTTCTCATGTGAAAGGTATTTCTTCCTTCTAGTAGAATGACTGTTTACAACGAGGAGGCCTCCTGATACACAAAGGAAGACTTGCAAGGACCACCGCATGGAGAACTGCTGTCGAAGCTCCAAAGACGTTGGAGATTAATACCGCATTGCATACATGCACAACTGCCCTGCCTTTTACCCCAGACAGGAAAGCCGACAAGGAGTTGACCGGCGAATGGAGACCATGCTAAAGTCAGAAAAGCTTACTGCTCCCCATAAATAAGTAGTGTCAAGCGCCCGTCCCCCAAACCCCCAATTGACTAGACCGCCAAGACAAATCCCTCATACATAACTCGCCCAGATGCCTCGGTTGTACTTGTGTGAAGTCTCAAGAGCTCGCGATACCTTCTCTCGAACAATTATGCTTAGGATGGTCATTTAGGAGCAACCGCACTATGCCAAACAAGTATCGACTTGCGGGCGCACTTCGTAGGTAGGATGCGGCACCGCACTATCTTCACAAATGTGTCAGAAATCGCTCAGGCGACATCCACAATCAGAGCGACAGAGTCACAGAGGAAAAAGAGGTCATTATTGGGAAGAGAAACCAAGAAGGTTGAGGATATGCCGCATAGGAATTGAACGAGGACCCAGGTGACCAACTTCGTGTCCGATGAGGATGGATCCTGTACCCATTCGCTCGCTCCTGCGAGCACCGAGTATCGTGGAGCAGTGCCGTGTTCCACTGCCTCGACTGTATCTACAGTGGGCGTCCGGCAGACGGACTCACGATAATTAGAAAAGGCTGTCTGTGTCCCCGAAGGCAGTATTCTACCGACACTTGGGTCGCTTGCCTCGTCCAAACCTATCCTGTCTTTCGATACATACTTACCTTATCCACTCTCTACATTCTTCAGCGGGCGAGCAGAAAACTTCTGGAAAAGAGATGGGTGATATCAAAAGTGTTGTTGTCTCGATCTCAGCTGTTTCTGAGATCTCGGAACGCAAGCGTACTTTCTCAAGTCTCTCGACTAGTACCACGTCATCTCTCGCCGCCCCCAAGACACGCCGACCTCCCCGTGTGACAAGCACCGAAAAGGTCCGTGAGCTAGTACGATTAGCAATTACAAGACTCCGAGTCCTGTTGAACGAGCAAAAAGGCACGCGCAGGCCGATCTCCCAGAAGGGCCTGTTCTCCTACAACTACGTCGAGCCCCTTTTCAATTGGTGGGGCGCAAACTATCGTGTTCTCACCACACAATGTCTCGGCCGAGTCGAAGCCTCTGACGCACTGGGTTCCGTGACAAAGCTTGTCAACGGAGCTTCTCACAACTATGCTGGCTTCTACAAGGCTACTTCTCAGGCTGAGGAGCTGCAGCGGCTGTGTTTGGAAGCACTGCCGGTGTCCGACACCCAGGCTGTTCCCCATCTCCGAGACGAAACGCATCATGCAATTGCAGACTTCTTTGGAGCGGACTTTTGCTTCACCACTAGCACTGGGTATGGATCTAATTACATCGCGCTGCCGGCATTGATCGATTGCTCCACTGTGGTCATCATGGATGAGAACTGCCACAACTCCATGTTCACCGGCGTGTTCCTGGCCTCCTCGCCAAACTTACGAAAGTTCAAACACAACAACATGGAGCACCTTGAACTTTTACTCAGCGGGTGTATTGATGAGTCTGTCAATGTCATAGTGGCCATCGAAGGTCTTTACAGGTTTGTGAAAATCATCTTGTATCTCTCGTGGGTCGAGCGTTTATCAGTGACTGACTTGGGACGACGCAGCATGGAAGCCGATATACCCCCCCTAGATCTTCTGCATCGTTTGAAGAAGGACTACGACTTCACTCTTTATTGCGACGAGGCGCACTCCTTCCTTTCTCTTGGGAAGACGGGTCGCGGATGCCTTGAATACTGGAACGACCACCACCCAGAGAGCCCCTTACCCTGGGATCTGATTGACATCCGCACTGGTACACTTTCCAAAGCTATCGGTGGTATTGGAGGTATCATCGTCGGGAAGGCTGTCTTTCAGGACATCATCCGTGAGCGCATCGAAGGCCTCAACGAACAGGACAATGTCTCCTTGCCAAGCTCGACAATGGTCCAGACGTTATGGGTCCTGGGCCAGCCACTTCGAATCGGCCGTAGCCTCCAACGGCTTGCTGAAATTGCCCGATTCTGTCGCGAGGAATTGGAACGCTTCGGTATATTCGTTTATGGTGACGTCGGTACACCGGTTCTGCCTGTCTACACCGGCAGGCCTAGCCTTTCTGCGAAGCTCTCTTACGCCCTGAGATGCGCCGGACTACTTGCGACACCAGTTTGCACTCCAGCAGTGCCGTTTTGGGAGACCAGAGTTCGAATCAACCTTTCGGCAGACTTCACAGACGAGGAGGTGAACGGACTTCTTCATGCTGTTATCCACGCTGCAGCAAGCGTGGGTATGGGGAGGATGAGAAGGATATCTCGTTCTTTCTTCAAGACCAATGTAGAAGTATTCGATGCGGAGGAAGACTGCAACGAGGCATCGAAGGTCTTTGACTGGGTACGCAGCTTGATCACGATGGACGCTGCTATGGGCCCGCACAGCGACCAGAGGCAGCTTTTTGATGGCACTTGCGGTCCTCGAATCCTCGACATAGGTCATGGATCTCGTGCTCAGTATGGCATTGGAGCAGGCGGTGCCAGATGGATCTGTGGCACGTTTCCTCCGCATCTTGTGGTTGAAGACCTCATTGCTCGTGCAACAGGTATGGAGGCCGCCTTGACCTATGCGGACGCCTCTATAGGGCTAGCTTCCACTATTGCAGCGCTTTCACGCCCTCTGGTAGGACACAAGAAGCATTTCATGCTGTTTGAACGAGGCGCGTCCCAATTTGTTCGCGATGGTCTTGCGATGGCATCAAAGAAGGAGGCCCCCACTTTACTGGGATATGTCGACCTCTTTCAGCTTGTACAACAGGTCAGAAAGCTCTATCGAAGAAACAGAAAGTTGTGTCTTACGGTATACGTGCGCGTCGGAGAGGATTCGGCACACCACCTGCTTTCATCTATTCTCGAAGAGATTGCTGCCATCACAGGTCCGGAGTCCGTCATGACCATCCTCCTCCATTGCACTTCTCAATACTTGAACCCAAGGCAACTCATCTCTTTCCCCTCGCGGATGAATATTCACGTCTTGGTTTGCGGATCTTTCAACCGCATTTTTGGTCTGCCCGCAGGATTTCTCACCGGACCACAGAGCTTGATTCGAGAGCTCCGATACACAAGCAGGGGTTACATGTTCACTACATCACCGCCACCCTTCATCATGGACATGTTACGAGGTGCCCTAGAGTGGAATATTACATCTGATTAACGGCTCTAAAAGGGGCTTAGAACGTATACTCGTGCAGGACGCTGTAAGGGAGGAGACTGGAATGACATCACTATGCTCTTCAGCCTCCTCTTGATGTGAAGAATATGGCTCTGTCTCTTGTCATCTATTGAATCAAGTCCACAATCAATCCAACTACAAATTCACTCTCCACTGCCAAGTTGAGTTGTTTCGGGAAAACACCTTGCCTTTTGATATTAGTCCGTGATCCATCCCAATGGGTTCGCCAATGCGCTGAGAGGCAAAAGGTCATTATTGCTGCCCAAGATAAATTTTGACTCCGAAGCGTAGAGGCTCAAAACTCCACAGAGTTTGAGTCAGGCAAGCATGAGAAGCTCAGGGGAAGACACAAATATAGACATGATAGCCAACGAATTGAGCCAAACTATCGCTCAAGCCACACGCAGCTTTGTCTAATACGGCAATCGCCACATGGAAGCTACATCTAGCCAAGCTCAATCGCCCAGTGCATTCCAGTGTGTGGAATCAGACTAGTTCTTCTGAAAGGCTGTCGAAGTTTCAGATACTCGTCATCAAGAAACCGGAGATCGATGTTCCGCAGAGATTCTTGTCAAATCAAATCTACCTTTATCGATTTCTCAGCGTGAGGAGGTGAAGTCATTTCCGATATGAAATATTCATAACCTGGCAAGCTTCGAAAGGGGTGTGTTCAGACAAGTATGATCGTTTGGCAAGATAAGTTTGCTGCGTGCATACAATAGTGGCAAGCACTTCGTCGATCAGCTGTGGTAGACCGCTGCAGCTTCCGAGAAAAAGAAAATTAAAAGAAAAAGAAAAGGAGGCTTAGCAAAGATTATTTGGAGAAGCGTTGTTGAGAAATTCATACATTTGACACCCAATCTTGAGCTGCTACGAGAATTCATCAAACCGAAAATGAATGTTCAGCTGCAATCCCCAGCTGTGACGATTGGCGACTGTTACACAATATTTCTTGGTCCGGGCAAATAATGACTCTCGGCCGACACTCTAGCCGGGCATGTTGCGTTGACAAATCCACGATCCTTGATCCTAGGTGCAAGAAAGCTTAATTGACACCAAGCGGGCGTGGTCCAAGTGGTGGGGTTACGGGCGGGGACTACGGGGATTTCATGGACTCAAACGAGGAGCTAAGAAGTGTTTAAAAGGATTGGAGCACTGGCATTGGACGAGGCTAATTGATTGACAAGGGGCAAACAACCCAGACTCGTTCATGGCATCGGCGACGCGTACGTGGAAGCTTGAACTCTGCCTTGCTTTACGGGAGTCAAATGACAGCAAAGCATGAGACGCATATCTGGCAGAACTCTGAGCTCGATCTGGCAGGTCGACCATTTTCCCTGGATTAATCTGAGGGTGATGGCTGCGGAGCGGAAAATAGGCACAGTTCTAAGTGTTATGAGCTGTGGAGAAAATCGAGCGAGCCTGCCTAAACAGCGTACCAGGCAAGGGAAATCTCGGACTCGTGAACCGACAGCGAATAGCGTGTGGTTCCGAGCTTTGTTACGAAATAAGCATACAATTAGAGCACACTCGGCAGCACCTCAGTGCTACCCGCCGACAGGGCAGATCAAACGCCGAAGTCATCGTGCAGCAAAGCGTGGTCGGCAATCGGTTGGGGGATCGTCCATTGGGTTCCAAGGCGGGATCGCACTTCGATGATCGACGGCTTCCCGTCTCTACCACCCCGTCGGGATCGTCGGTAGGCCATAACTCGCTATCGTTAACTATCCGCGGAAAGTTACGATCGAACCGGAGACCGCGTGGGATGCCCGCCTGCCAACATGTCACGCATCGACCTCTTCCAGACCGCTGACGATCACCCGTTAAGCTCTGGGCTATGCAACTTTTATCGGCCAGAGGGACCCTGTGAAGAATAGCGTGGTGTTTCTAGAAATGTCGGCCATTTGCCGCGTACGACTACTGGGGGCTCCGAGCGAAGGAGGTAAACGTTTCGCCCACTAGGCCGAAGTTTCCGCCTCGTTTACTCTAACCCCATCTTGTCTTCCCCTCTTCCCCCTAGAGAACGTGTGCTGCGCGCAGCCCGTTGGTATGTGCCAGCCCTACCTGCCAAGCCTTATCCAGTTTCGTTTCCATCTGTCGGCGGGAGTCATGCACGGTCGTCGACCGGCATCCTGCCTGAGTCGCGAGCCTCCACGTCGTAGTCGTCACCCTATAGCTAACTATGTTGGTCTATAATCTGGCTGTGCTCAGAGTAAAAGCTTAACCCCTCTCCCACCGGCTTTCGCTTTCTGGCTAGCCATGAGCAACTCCAAGGGCTTCATCCGAACTTGCTACTGGCAGACTGGCAACTCACGAACGACAACAGTCCGAGCGAGGCGTGATGTTGTATGCACCCGAGCGTCCCGTCGGCCTGCCCAGAGCCCAGCTCCCTCGAGGCATACCGGAGATGGAAACTTTCGTGGTTGCTCTCGTAGCTCGCAACAAGTGGAGAAAACTGGTTACCGCCGGTGGCATGCGGCCGAAAATTGTGATGGTGTCGCCTACCTCACCATGCCGAAGCTTGTCGGCCGGCCAAGGCCACTTGTTGTGCATGATAGCGGCAAACGTACTCTGCCTAGTCAAAAGACTAAACGGGTAGATAATGAATTGTCGGTCTCGGCATCAATGGCTTTAGACTCACAGAACAGAAGAACTACATAAGGATGGAGTATTTCCAAAACCATTGGCAGTTCTTGATCAGCAGCCTCATCGAACAAGCTCATTTCACCCAAGACTGCCTCACCTAGGAACATCTCAATACCTAATTTACTCCTTCTACACTTAGCCTCAAGCATCTTAGCTTATCATAACTTCACATTGAACCTTCACCAAAATGGTTGCCATTAAGAACCTCTTCATTGCCACCCTCGTCTCTAGCGTTATCGCAACGCCACTCTTGAGCGGTCGCAACGTCCCAGACGTTGACGTCGATTCAGTCAGTTCCATCGAGACCCGAGGTGAAGCTGCCAAAAATGTGAACGCTGCTGCCACATACGGCAACGGCGGATCATTCGGGAACGGCGGAGCATACAAGAACGGAAACGGTGGTGGTTTCAATTCTGGCGGTGGCTTCAACTCTGGCAATGGCGGCGGTAACTGCGACTATTCCGAGAAGAACAGACTCGATCAGGAGATTCGCAACAGAGAGCGCATGAAGAACCGTCTCGACGATGAGATTCAGAGACGCCAGAACATGAAGGACCAACTGGACCAGGAGATTCGTCGCAAGCAGAATGGCGGTTGGTAATTGGCGCCGTCGGAGTTTGGACATAACCAGGCATCTTGCTAGGTTACGGCGTTGAGGATTAGGAGTTCAAAGAGCGAACTGGTTTCTATTCATGGAGCGGTGGGTTAAGCATGGTGGTTTGGAGGACATCAAACTGGAGCCAATCCTTACAGGCGGACTAGGACCGCCGGCGTAATATAAATCTTGAAGTAGAATGATTCACAAAATGATACAAACTTCGTAACTGCAGCTCCGAACTTCAATGGTCTCAAGATTCTGCCAATATGAACCAAAAGGCAACTCCTTCCCATTGAGGTCTTTTGAAATATCTGAACTACATGTGACCTGGACTCCAGTCTAGATCTCACGAATGGTTTTTTCATTGAGGGAGGTAATTATGAGTGCTAAGACGAGTGTCTCCAACAGAAATACAGCATCAAGAATAGTGAACAGGGCTGACTGGCACGAGTGGCAGCATAGGTGCTCGCATTGGCCCTCGATAAATCTAGATGAATGGCATTATCATTAGGGCTGGAAACTGCAGTTGGAGAACATTGCATGGCGAGGGAGGGTCATTTACACAATGACCTAGTACAATTACCAGCAGTATCTTGCCTTCATCTCGCTGCCTTGACATCAGAAAGCTCAACTCCGCTGTAAAGCCTACTCCTTGTTTCCACTTCAACCAAAGTCAATTACGGGAGATAGCGAAAAGCTTTCTGACGAAAGCATTTCTCCAACAGAAGTGTTGCTTGCCCTGCTATCAACTGTGACTATTTATTTCTCGGGGCGCTGGAAATGTTGCTATTGATTTGGTGAAATGCCTTTCTCAGCCTCAGGTGTGACAGCCCAAGCTTCCCTGATAGCCAGAAACGATCTCCTTTCTGGGCAGTAGAAACCCCAAACTAAGGGAGAACACAATCCGGCTTTTGTTTGTCGATACATCAGGGCTTGTGCTACAATCCCTTGCAACAAACAAGCACAAGCAAATTCTATACTGCATTTGCTCGTCACTGGGCTCTAGGATAGCCCAGTCAGAGTGTCGACGTCCAGTGCATCCTCATTCAAGAATGTCCCTGCATTCAGCATTGAACACCCCCCATCTCCATGTTGAGATGTAGGAATGTGTATCAGACTTATTACGTATGCCAACTGCTGCAGCCGAGGCTGTTAGTAATACCCCCCGGTCTGTAAGCTTGGACTAGAGTTTAATCAACTCTTTTCCCCAGTTCTACGGTCAAGATAACTCATGTAATCTAAGCTTCAACTATTTTAAAGCAATTGATTGGGGAGTATAGGTCCTGAGAATCTTCTGCTTTTGACGTACTGTCGCGACAAAAGGGGGGTGTCACATCCCTCCTACAGGGGATGGCATGTACCAGAAATTACGTCAATATTGTGCATGAGTCACAATCTATGCCTGCTTGAGGTTGAACTCTCAAAGATAGCCTTTCAGACTGGAAGGGAGGGGCTATCAAAGAGACACCTACCGCATTCACGATGATAATATCAATAACGTGAATACAGTCGGCAAAATTGGAAAGTACTTCGGTCCGCATGCGGAGATAACTTCAACAATACTTTCCTAATATGCAATTTGTAGGGTCCTTCTCTCAGTACCTCAAGTTAGTACTTAACCATCTGACTCCGTCTCCCCCGAATTTTCACCCCTTCAGCCTCCACCAGTGCGTTTCTCAACTCGACCTCTTTCACATTGTTCACTTCCCCGGGCCAGATCGACACTACGCTTTTCACGCTTCTCTTTGCGAGGTCAAGCGCAAATAAAATGTCTTCAGGTGATAGTCGCAACCTTCGAGCTTCCTACGAGTCGTACAAACTCTCAACAAACTGCTTCCTGGGATGGATGGTAGCTCAGTATCGTTCTGCAGTACCTGGAGACGAGAATCCAAGTCTGATTGCTTTTACCGATGACATCGTCAAAGTTGCCAAGGCTCTTCAGGAGTCCAAAACTGTTGTACCTCTCTCCATTATCGGAGCTCTTCACCATGCCATCGAAAAGCGCCGGGAAGTCGGGAACATTTACAAGGCTTCGGGAGCTGAGGATCGTAGCCATGGCTACTTCATCGAGAGGTAGTAAAATGCCCCGCACCAACATGAAATTTGAACCTGGACTGACTATAATGACCACATAAGACTAGAGGAGACCTTAGGTATCCTGAAGCCCCTTGTGGCGGCGTCGAAGAGACTTCCCAACTCCGAGATCCCGGGCATCGACAGCGTGACGCTGAATCAATTTGCTACACTCGCGTTGGAGGAAGAAGAAGACAACGACGACAATGATGTTTCCCCAATTACAGCTACCACCTCGAAACTCCCTGCTGCTCCCCATAGGCGATCAGCCAAGGGCAAGGTCGTTGTTCGTCAGCAACATTGCAAGATTGAAGTTTTCCTCGAAGACGATGACATGTGCCGAGTTTTCGAGGTGTCATTCCTTCTACACGTAAGTCATGGGCCGTTCCTTCCGAGCTGAGACTTCTAGACCCTCACCTAATGAATCTCTCAGCAAGCTGTAATGATGCGCGACCAGCTGATGCAGTTTTGGACCGAGGCCGTTATCGGAACACTTCCGATCCCCGTCGCAGCGTGGCTCACCAGCACGGTGTTCTTGCTCGGGAATCAGCTCATTAGTAATTACTTTCCCCTGACGAGTGAGGAGATGGACAAGTACTGCGTCAACGTCTGGAAGTTTCTTGACGCGCAGCCCGAGATCGACGCCGGGATCGACGGAAAATTCAACTTCCTTCGCTTTTGCGACTTTTACAACGCCATAAAATCATGGAAACGCAACAGAGATCAGCTCGCTTGGGACGGTGACCTGCTCAAGTCTGAACACGACGAGGTGCTCATCCGAAGAGACCCTGACACTCCCCATAATCATTCAACTGCGGATGGCAAACGTGACGAGGAGCATTTGAGAGGAGTTTTGGAAGTTTTGCAAAATTCGCGCGAATATTGGAAAGAGAAACGCCCCGTGAAGCGATTGGAAGTCCACAAGAAAGCCTCCTTAGTACAAGCCGGATCGTCTGAGCCGCTTCTGTTTTACCTCACTGATTTCCATGACTATGTAGACATTCCTCCCCTAGGGAAGAACATTCTGTCTCAATGGACTCACCAGACCACGCTGCCTCGACCAATGCATCTGATTTTGCCCCCTCGGCGGGGCTGGTCCTCGGCCTGGATCTGCTCATAACGACGTTTGACGTCTTCCGCTGGCCGAACGGAGAGTCTAATGAAGATCTAGATGCAAGAAACAGTGCTCTCGAGCTAGCCACTCAAATGAGAACCGCGGTCGACTCCTCGACGGAAGTCGTGAGAGCCTCGCTCGACAACGCGTCCCACGCAGACCTGGTGGAGAAAATGAAGGAGTTCCACGGGGCCCTGGATGACTACGCCACGGAAGACTGTACCCAATTTTACTACCGAGCTCCTTGGACCGCCGGCGGACATATGGGGGAGATGCTGTTCCAGGCCCAGCATATGGGCAGATATCTGGCCGGCTGTTGCACCGGTGGGGGTCTATGTATAGTCCCGGCGACACTTCACCTCTACAACGCCCTCCGGCGCTCCGACTTCAAGCTCGCCGAGATTCCCATCATGGAGGAATTATGCAACCTCTTCAAGGCCAACGTTTTTCAAGGGGACTTGACCGACAGGAACTTTCTCTCCATCTATCGCCGAATCGTGTACGGAGGACCCCTCAACAAAACCAAGTCCGCCATCGAGTGGAAGAGCAACCAGTCCATCATCCCGCCGCTCTCGTCCATCTTTTGCGATCAATACGCCATCAACTACAAGACGGGGCCCATTTTCCTGGCCCGGATCAACGGGCAAAGCGCACCAACAACCAGAGCCCAGGAGGAGAAGATTGTCAAGAAGAGCTCATTGCAGCCGCAGCCGCTCACGACGGTGATGCACCTGGCCAAGGAGACTGTTTTGGCAGAATTCAACGGGCCTGTTCCCGTGGCGCGGATCAACTACTTTGCCATTTTTGACCTGTGTGTCAAGGTCCTCGAGAACTTTGGCAAGATCATCGACGAGAGCGATTTGAAGGATGCAGTGAAGTTTGTTCCGCCCGTTGAGCTTCACGCAATTCGTGGAATGTCCATGGTCGACTCTGTGCTTGACATCATTGTTGAATATTCCAAGACGTACCGCAAGAGAAAGAAGTTGTCTGAACTGAAATGGCTGGTGCTTTCAGGCAAGGCATTTGACGTTGTAGATAGGGACGCAACTCTGTCGCAATTCCTGTGGAAGGTTTGATCAGGGCTTGCTCCTTTGTCCTGGAACTTTGTTGGGGAGCCATACGTTCACAGATACGATGCGGGTAGAATATGGAACCAAATGTCGTCGTAGACTCGCAGTAGTATTAGATAGATATACTAGCACCTCGTAACCACATTGTGATGTCGTATTTATACAGATTCCATCGTGATAACATATCGTCATGCCCCATGACCCTTACTCCTTCTTGCTAGCAGCCCCCTCCGTCTTCATCCCCTCACACCCAAACGCCTTGCCAGCAATCTCCTCCGCCTTGCCGTACCCCTGCGTTGATGCATCACGCTGCTCGCCAGCAGCCTTCATCGTCGACGCGGCATGCGCCTTATCCTGTTCTCCAGACGAGGTCCAGGCGTGCGAGCCAGTGACGCTGCCAATTGCGGCCTGTGTCCATCCTGTCAGTATCACTACTTGGCCAATTGTTGCTGCTGAGATTTTGAGATTTTGATGCAATGCATGTCTATTATCTTACCTCAGCGGCGCCCTTGATGTACTCAGCGTGGCCGGCGATGAGGCCGGGTTGTTGGGCGTTGTTGTCTTTGTTCTGGGAAGACATTATGTGAGAACGCGGTAATTTCTTTCTTTTTGAGTTTGGAAAAAGATTTGAGGAACACGATGAATCGTATAATTAAGTTTGGTCAGTAAATAAAAAGAGATGAAGTCTCTTCTTGTATTGAATGACCCTTGAAGTAGTGGGATTGGACTGGCTGGAGGTTGACTGTAGTCGAGTGACACCACCCAAAGGATGACGTCAATACTCAGATCGACGTCATTAGTGCCACATCACATGATTCCCTTCCTGCTCCGAAAGGCAAGACTACCGCAAAGACAACCGCCGTTGCTACAGACCATTGCTATGGCAAAAGTAGCGTGAGAAGGGATTTATTTTTCGGTGGCACTAATGAAAAATACTCGGATTAGGTAGTGGAGTCGAACGCTATTATCGGGAATCACCGACATTTCGGCACAAGACGAGGTAGGAGTAATTTGAGGCAAACAGAACTCGACTAAGGGGTATCGATACAGCTTGAGAGCATCACCTAATCATCGGTGCATGTTATACAAAGAAGAAGTCGATCTAAACGTCAACCTTTTCAGCATGCGAAGTATTGAGGCCCTCCCTCTTGCCCTCAGCAGCGGCGATTCGGTTCTCAAAACGCCCGCCAGCACTTCGGGTACGCCAGGCGGGGATATTGGAGTCGAAAAGCTCGTCAATTTCCTCCAGACTTTTGCCAGATGTCTCTGGGTATGTAAAGAAGATGTGTATAGTCATGGCAGCGCAAAAGGCTCCAAAGATCATGTACGTCTTCCACTGGATGTTGGTGAAGGCAGGAGGCACAAAGAAGGCGAGGGCAAGATTGAACGCCCAGTTGGAGGCCGCGGCCAAACCGACACCAGTCGCACGGTACTTGAGTGGGAAGACTTCGGAAGCATAGATCCAGCCGATAGGAGCCCAGGTGAGACCGTAAACACCAACAAAGATGTAAGATAGGGCGATGACACCCTTTGCCGGGGCTCCAGTGACCTCCCATTTCAAGTTATCGTCGCCATTGACGCTGTCAACTGGGTTGCCATGGACCTTCATAACAGCGCCAGTCGTGAAATGGATGATGCAGCAAATGATGGCACCGCCGATAAGGAGAGGACGGCGGCCGAGACGATCAATGATTGGGAGGATGGCGCCGGTGGTAACGAGGAAAATAACATATTGTATGATAGAGGAAGTCAAAGCCACGTTGCCAGACTATGTAATAGGTTAGCCATGCAAAATTTAGGTCATGATCTGGAATTACTCACCATTCCTGCCATGTTAAACAGAAAAATTATATAGTATAGGGCAATATTACCGCCAAGCATTTGCTGCCAAACTTGAACACTGCATCCGGCGAGTGTGCGCTTCCAGACACGCGGTCCAAAAAGACCAAAGAAAGTAACATTCTTGGACTCGGCGGCAACGCGCGCAGCTTCCCTAACTTCATCGAGCTCGGCAAGGACAGTAGGGGCTTCGCGGTCACCACCAGCATGGAGATGGGCAAGAACCTCGTGGCACTCCTCCCACCGATCCTTCTGGCCTAGCCAACGTGGCGACTCGGGGAAGAAGAGGAGAGCGATTCCGAGGATGAGGCCAGGAATCCCTTGAATACCCCAGGCGATGCGGAATGCCTTGGGATCGTTGGGGATACTGACAATACAGCCGTAAGAGATAAGGTACATGATGAGAATGCCCCATTCGATTGACCATTGTTGAATGCCGACGATACGCCCACGGATGCGAGAGGGAGCCAATTCAGCAAGATAGACGCAGCATTGGGAACTTGTGATACCGATGGCCAGACCAGAGACAACGCGACCAGCAATGAGGTGGGCGACATTCTGGGAGGAGCATTGGAGAACAGCACCGATGACCCAAATGACAGAGGCAAGCTTGAGAGCGCCACGACGGCCGTATGAATCGGCCAAGAAGCCAGCGACTAGAGCACCAACAAGGGAGCCGCCAGACATGGAGGCCGTGATGCCGCCCTGGAGGGTCGAGCTCGGGTGTCCGAAATATTCTTTGTAGGAGTCGGCGCCGATCCACGCACTCATGGAACTGATATCGAAACCGAAAAGCATACCGCCTATGGTGCCAAAGGCGGCGAGCGCTACAAGTCACTGATCAGCATCTAGGTCGTAGTGATATGGCAATGCCGAATGGGGAGGAGAAGGTCAGACAGAGGGTGCGTACCGTAGATGTTGTAAATGCGAAACATAATGGGCATGAGGTTGTGCCTTTTCAAGGCGTTCCTGGTATACTTGGAAGTCAAATGGCGATATGAATCAAAGGGCGACAGGCTGCGATGCTGCAGTCAGTCCAAGCCTGGATCCGCGAGAGGCAAGTTGGACAGTTGGAAGGTACGAAGAAGAGTTATATAGATGGTGAAGTCTGGTGTCCAACAAGATTTCCCACACAGCCAACCGACTAACACCGAGAGGCGCGCCTTTGAGAGATTCAAACAAAAGTGGCCCACATGCTCCGACTACCTTGGGTGGCGTCTCATTGAAGAGCCGGTAACGGGCGGCTGAGCGGGTGGTGGAGATCTCGGGCAGAGGCTCTGAGGTAAAAGTGCCGTAAAGGCATGGCCCGAGATGCGAAGGCAAGGCTACCCGGCAGGCGGCAAGCGTGTTGAAGCCATCTCAGAGTGACAGCGAGTGACTGAGTCGCAAACGTGCTGCGATATCATCGAGTCGTGTTAAGCGCACGTATCAGAAGGCGGAAAAGTCAAAGAGTCCAGAGCGGACGACGTCATGTTCAACTGAGAAGCCAAGCACATGGTCTTGTCTGTCTGGGGCACCGAGCGCGTGGAGCACTAGAGATGTTAGCCCAGTCGTATCAAATGGTCCAAACCCAGGATGGCGTGGGATGATGGGCTAATGTGTGAATGGTTGGAGTTTGGACTGGAGGGCAAAGGGAAAGATGTGGGGATACAGACTCTGGGGCCTTTTGGAGGTACCTTAAGCATCGAATCATGGAGGATCACCGCCGAGAGAGAGACCGTAGGACGTGAGGGGAACCCGGGAAAGAAGGGGAAAGTGCAAGGGGGCAACACCTACCGGTATTGAGGCGAGTACTGGTAGGGAAGGAGGGGAGATTGGGGAAAATTGGGGGAAGGTGCAGCACGACGGCGACTTCCTTTCAACTCAGACTTTCTTTCACCCAGCAAAATCCGGGCAAGGGAGGTACCTTAAGGTAGGTAACTGAGATGGAGCAAAGAGCAGAAAGAGGCCTCTGATTCCAATGCCATAGCCGGGCCAGTCATGTTGTGTCGAGCCGCAAGAATTAGAACTCCGAATGGCACCTCTTCCTGCCCGATTCCTACGTATTTTCGTGGCCTTGGCTTCCTCAACCACGGGAATTAAAGTAATTGTGCCATACAAATTCAGTAATCGAGACAATGACCAATCAACGCGTGACGGAGTTCGTGCCTCGGGCAGTTTTCTGGGGCTCACCAAGATCTGCGTTAGACCTTTCCATAAGAAGGATAGCGCTGTCTCCATTTCTCCGGCACCCGCACCTGTTGCGTCCGTTTGTGGCTCTCTGGTAAGGAAAGCCTGGGGCCCGTATGGATGCAATGCTGCGTCACTTTAATCCCACTCTCATGAGCCTCTCATTCGCTTCTGAGTTTCCATAAGTGGGCAAACAACGTCCAACGGTCTACGAATACATACGTAGCAATATCTCTGCTTGCTCCGGCCCATTCCGACTTAGTACAAATTCTTGGCTTCAGCGACATGCACCAGGCACGGAATCCGGCCGAGTTTGCCGTGTTGCCTCATGATCATCATTGACACGTCTCAGCAACGCCCTGCAGAGCCTCAAGAGTAACTTACCTTGGCGAGAAAATAAGCAAGAAGCACGGTTTTCAAATTGAGGCGTTTGGTGGAATAGGCACGTAAGCCTTGGACTCGACGCCATAACCCCGTCGGTTCCCTTCCTCGTGGCTGGGCGACGTGATCCACGTTGGCGCCGAGACGCTCAGAGGATACGGAAGGTAGGGAGCCGGCCCCACTTCAAGCACCTTCCCTCGGGCCTCCCGTCCCCCATCCAAGATTCTCCTCCCAATCCTCCCGGCTTCCAAATTTACTCAAAATGGCCATCCATGAAATGAGTTGGTATGCAAGTTTGCTGAGAAGCTTATACTGCTAAAGACTGAATCACAGGTAAGGTAGATGGTGTCAAGAGACGCGAGGCTTCGCTTCCTTGCGCAGGAACGCCAGGGCGAGCACGGAGGCCGCCCCGCTGGCACTTTCCGCCCTGCTTCGATCACTCCCGAAAAGAAAACGTCTTGGCAAAGGCGAGTTTTTCCATCACTGTGGCCATGCCTCAAAGTGATAGGTATTGAGAAGCACCGCCGCGGCTGTTGAACGGAGTCAAACCATTTTTGATTTGTTGTGTCCTGATACCCAACCACGAACTTCTTGAAGCCTCTTACGTCTCTGTGGATATCCCCCCCCCCCCCCCGTCTTTCCTAATAATACATGCTGTAGCTCAATCCATACTCTATCATGTAACGTGAACCGTGTCTGACAACTCTCCTTCATACTCAGGCAGCTGGAGCAGATGACCCAGGGGCTGACGGCCCAGGGGCACTACTGGATCCCGCCGGAGCATCACCATAATCTCTATGGTACTCCTCCAGCCAGGCATCAATCTTTGCAATAAGAGCATCGAGACCCTGTATCTAACGGTCAAAGCCCCTCATCATGTCATTGAGCGCCCCACTCATCCTCATAACCGGCCAACTCTGTTCCTGGCCTGAGAGTTTCCTGAGGTCGTCTTCAATACGAGTCTTTTCAGCGACTGCCGTATGTCGATTCACCATCATCGTGGTCTTGATTCGGCGAATAGCCTTGTACTCCAACGGCGTCTTGAAGCCTCGTTCGTCGCCTCTGGCCCTCGTACTGCCAAAGGCATTTGACAAAATATCTGCCTCCATTCCCTGGCAGATGTCCGTCAGGCCTTGAAAGCTGAAGTGGCCACTTGAAGAGGGATCGAGAGAAGGGGGGTTGACCACGAGAGAAGGGTTGGATATCTGAGGAATAGAAGAACCGGGTTGAGTGAGAGTTTCGTTGCCGCGACGAGCAGGAAGCGGGGGTAAAACGACAGGAGGATTTAAGGCCCGGGCTGCAATGACGGGGCGAGGGTTGATAGCGGGAGGGGCCTGGCCAACAGCGTTGATGAGGGGAGGATTCTGTTCCAGAGGAGCAAAAGCCTGGGTCGGGGGGTTGCCGGGATGATGGAAATGAACCGGAGGCGCAATGACTGAAGAAGCCTGTGCCGAGTGATTGGAGACTGAAGAAGCCTTAGCTGGAGGGTCGTCGATTGCAGAAGCCTCGGTCGGAGGATTGTTGGGAGAAGAAGGCAGAGGACCAACGTGAGGAGAGCTCTCAACTTTGATAACCGGAGAGACCTCAATCGAAGGGAGGATAATGGGATTCTCGTGTTCCTGCCGGCATGTTAGTACCTCTTCCAAGATGTCTGCGACTACGAGCTGCGAAAGTTGGGGGGTTGGGGATGCACCAACCTCTGTTGACTCGGCCATATTGAAACACAATGTTCTTGCTCGACTGAATGATTCGAAATGGGCCTGTATGTTGTCGTTAGGATAGATGAAAGAGTCGTTCCAAAAATGTTGGGAGTGATGGAGGTGGGAAGAGAGAAGAGGTTGCAATTGCATGCACCTGAGGATGTAAACAAATCGCTGCGCAAGACATGGCCTCCTTCCAACCTAATAACTCTTTGTCAACTACGCTCCTTCCTTCTGAAGTCCAGTGTGTGTTGCCAGCCTCACTCATGCCCTGGGATGACGGAAAGAACAATTGCCAGAAACCAGACCAACGAGTAAAGATAAGTACTTACGGAAGTAGCAACGTGCTGCGAGTTTCAGCGGGAGAAACAACAATAAAGCCAGGCTCAAGCATCGGGGTCAACAAAAACTTAGTCAATCCTTGCGAGCTTGCCACTGTTTGCACAAAAGTTCTGGCAGCAGCTGCTGCGAATCAGCTAGTCTAGATATACAATCATCGTGACGAAGGGAGCTCTGACAACATCATCGTTGAATTTTCACATCAAGACTATTTCATCCATGCTCTGATCATCATGAACAGCCTCTCCTCTCATGATCCCATGCACGTAGCACTCTCCAACTAGCCTATGCCTCCTGTTATCAACCTTTCTCAGAAGGTATGGTATATGGCAACCGTCCAAAATGTGAATCTCGTCCCCCACCTTGCTTGTCTCCGGCACCAGCCCCAAGTACCCCTTATCAGTGAAGCACAGCCTACGATTCCGCACCGCATGCACCATTGAGGTCCTCACATCCTGGAACGTCTTTCCTGCCGTGCGTGTCTTGAGATTTGCTAGCTCCAACTTCCCCTTGCCTGCTGGCCGCCTCTGTCGTGCAGAGTACGTTTGTCCCGGGAGCGACGGGGACAGCCCTGTGGATTCGTCGAGGAGAAGAGATATAACCTCTTCATAGGCCGTCGGCGCCTTGGCCATTTCGGTCACGTCTTTTCCGGCGACCAGGGTCTGCCAGAAGGCAGAAAAGACGGTTCCACTGCCTGGATACTCTTCTAGCTTTGTGACAAAGGAGCGCATGTCTTTCAAGTCTTCGTTGGCAGTGGTTGGATCGTCGAGACTCAGTTCTGGATTCGTGAAGGTGGCACTGACTTTTGCAATAGTGTCCACTGAAATACCATACAGCCGCAGGTCGTTCTTATTCTTGCTTTCTAAAGGCGGATGAAGTCTGCCAATTTCGATTGTGAGATGGCCGCATGCCATGTACGGGGTTGTTGTGGTAGTAGAGTGTCCCAATGAGTGTGTTCGACGGGGATTTCTCCAGTCTGGTACCCACGAGGGCAGGTCGAGAGACTCATGGTCTACGCAGGTAAGGACCACGCCAAGTCTCAAGCTGCTTTTGTTGTCATTCAGGTGACGCGTCGTTATGTCGCGATAGAGATGAGTCACAAGAAACTCGTCTGCGTAGCTTGGTTTAATCGCAGACCTATCTTGTTCTTGACAGACACCAAGCAGGCCATACACCTTATCCCGATTATCGTAGCACTTGGCTTCCCTGGACTCTACCAACAGGTCGAACAGCGGCATATTCACACTATGATAGCTTGACTTCATGCTGCTGAGGTGCTGTACCGACTCACAAAGATCCCTCTGAAAGTCAAGTGCGCGGCTTCCAGAATTGAACTTCTCCCCTAGCCATCGCGAGATACCACAGGTCCAGAGATGTAGACAAGCCAATGACAAGACATCCCACGTAGTCATATGATTGCCGCACACGACCCAAGAGTCGAACGAGAGAATGACTTCCTGAATGATCCACAGTCGTGTGAACCACGGGCGCGAGAGAAAGTCCCACAAGGCTTCCCAAACTTCCGAGTCCTTGGAGGGAAGATTTAGCCCCTCGAAATCATCCGGACCGATAGTCTTCTCCGTGAACTGCAAAAGCAACCTAACGTCTTCCAGCAGCTTTATGGCGGAAGCAGAATTCGAAGTTGATTCACCCAACCAGATGACGGTGTTCATCGCATTCTGGTAGATCCTCGACATCAGGGGTATCTGCTGTGCCTTCTCTTCATTGTCGTCTTGATTGATGCAGATCTGGTCAATCCACATCACCACCGAGGAGTGTTCTTGCCGAAAAGCCCTCAAAGCAAGCGCGAGGGACTTTGTGATATTCTTGACGTGACCTTCGCACTCAATTGTCTCATCGAACACATTTGGGCCCCATGTATAGCTGAGCGCCGTGTACACCATTGGCGCTGCAGATCCATCGACAGCGAGAGCAAAGCTTGCCTTGAGTTCGAGTGAGCAGTGACGGAGACGGCCACGTAACTTGTCGGCGCCAGTGCCTGGCAAGATCTCGAGCACGCGGATCTCGAAAGGGTCGAGTATGGGACGGTAAAGAGATGAAGGTTGGGCTTGGGCTGGTATCTTGGTGGCATCCTTGGTCGATGCCCACGTACGGACCAGTTCCCTTTCCTTATTATCGAGCTCGGGTCCATCAACACCGGCAAGACTGAACTTTTTGTCGACATTGAAGTTGATCCAGTATTCAGATCTCAAGGATTTCTTGAAGAATTGAGTATCGTTGGCCGACATCTTGAGGTTCAGAACGGTGGCGCAGAGTCTCGCTCGCGCAAAATCAGGCTGTCAGATTCATGGAGAAGTAGGAACTGCAACAGGTGTCAGCTTCGTGCACGAAATCCTCTGGCGGAGATGGGGTGGACTGTAAGCTGCAGCATTTCCTTCGCTGTGAGTGGACAGCCAAGTCTTAGCATCGCTTGCCCCCTGCGATCTAACGCCAATGCCACGTTAGGCTGGCTTAGCTGAGGATGTCTAACAGCACCAGATGGCAACGAGAATTGATGCAGGCTATGACCAACACCGACGGAGATGAGAAAGGCTTTTCCTTTGATTTCTTTGGAATATCCTTTGGGTAATTGGGACTGAGCAGGTTGTTAGAGTTGGATCTTTAAGTTTCCTCTCGGCAAGCAAGTCACAATTAGAATGGCTGATTGACTGCGCTAAAAGATCGCACATACCACTTCCCTTGACAATAGAGTCACGAAGACAAGAACCGAAGAACCAACTCAATATCAGAAATTAAGGAAGTTAAGATCATGATATACGCTGTACTTTGATTGGGGAATCTCTTGACATCGGCCGTCCGAACGCCGGAGATAGGAATACGAACCGGAGTTTTGGGGATCGGCGAAAGTCCGACGGCGTGAAGCCATGACATGGAGCCGTCCCGTGCAACAAGGAAACACGGCAGAACGGTGTCAGTTTGGTTCCCGGGTTCCGACATTAACTTTCCTTCAACGATTTACAATCGCGTGATTTGGTGTACTTAAGAATCTGCGGAAGGCGTTGGAGTTGTTGCGAAAAGGCCGACAAAAGACATCATGTGTGCCAAGGAAAGATTTAAAGAAAACTCAGTCCCTCGCATTGTACGAACGTAAGAAGCAACTATTTCAACCAACCCAGACTTACCAGGCACTACCAATATGACTGCAGTAAAGGAAATTAGAAAGGTAACGATGACTTTCGTGTTTCGATATCCTGGCCCGTCCGAGTATTTCTGACAACAGCATTCATAGATCATCATCATTGGCGGTGGCCCTGCTGGCATACTTGCTGCGCTCCAGCTGAAAAAGGCCAATGGAATCACGCCAGTAGTCTACGAAATCCGTCGCCAACCAACAACACTCGGCGGAGCGATCGGCATTCCTTCCAACGGTCTCCGACTACTCGATCGTCTTGGACTGTATAATGATGTTGCAGCTCGAGGTGCACTGACGCCGAAGCTTGTCTTATACGCTCTGAAGGGCTGCGTTATGGGTGAGATGGATCTATCATCCTGGAGTGAGCAGCAAACCGGCTTCGGATACTTGCGTGTCCAACGAACCGACTTGATGGACGTCCTCCTGGGCGCCGCCAAGCAAGCAGACATTCAAATACACTACGGCAAAGCCGTGGAGAAAGTTGAAGAACGAGACAACACCGTGACCGCCCGGTTCGCCGACGGGACGGCAGACACAGCCGACTTTCTCCTCGGCTGCGATGGTATCCACTCTGCCGTGCGGAAACTCTACATTGATCCAGTCTCCGCGCCCGAGTACTCCGGCTTTGCAAACATGTTCGCTCTAGTGCGACCAGACGAGGTGTGCCCCAGAGCCACGTCTATCGAAACCATGAGCGCGACGCTCACCTCTGACGGACTTTTCGTCATTGCCCCGACGACACCAAACCGCGATCTACTCTACTGGTTCTTCTCCCGCGAAGTTGCTCTTCCGTCTTTTGGCAATGTCCGTGATGGATGGGAGGAGCGCGGGAAAGAAGCGGCAGACACATTCAAGGCGACCCTTCTGGATCTCTTGGGAAGTCAAAAGTCTGATTGGATGGACATGGTGCACGAGATTATCAACAACACAAATGCTGTCCAGTTCTACCCGATCTACAAGATGCCGCGGGGAAGATCGTGGTCCAGGGGCCGTTGCATGGTTCTAGGTGACGCTGCCCACGCGATGCCGCCGCACGCCAGTCAGGGTGTTTCCATAGCTTTAGAAGACGTCTTCTTATTCTCAAAGATGTTGAAGAGCAACGCTGATAGCCTGGAAGACGCGATGCAGGCATATGAGAAAAAGCGCAAGGTGCGGACGGAAGCGATGCTGGACAAGGCGGAGTCGAATGGATCCTTGCGTAAGTCAACTGCGCCTTGGCGTCTTCGAGCTATGGAGCTGGCTATCTCGGGAGGATTGTGGGTCTCCAAGACCACGGGTATTGGCAAGATGGGCTTCGGACAGAAGCCTCTAGCTTATGATGTCGGAGAAGAACAGTTTTGATGCAGAATCTGGAGGAGTCGGTTGCGTGTTTGTTTGAGTTCGTCATGATAAGTTGTACGAATACCTTATGTCGCTGTAGAAAGTTCCAAGGAGAGTCTGGCCTGCAAATGTGCTGTTTTGAATACTACCTTAGGTACTGCCTTATAATATCAATCCAAGGCTCCAAAACGGAGATGGCTCTCAGCACATGATGGGCAATATTACATCATGTTGAGATATCTAATCGAGATAGTCTAATCAATTCTTCAAGCCTTTCCTGCTGAGCCAAACCAATGCATGTAAGTTTCGCACGCTTTCTGCATTTCCTTCGTACCAGCTTCAATTGTCGCGGTAATCGGACGACCCCTTGCTGTCTCTTGTGTCGGGACATAGTGGTTGTTGATTCCCTTGTTGATGTTAATCTTTGTCACTCCAGCTTTGATGCAGCGATTGTAGATCTCCTCTGTAAAGGGATCCGCCCCGTGAAGAATGAGCCTAACTCGATCTCCAACAGCCTTGTTGGTATTTTCGAGCCGGTCGTACTCCAGCTTGATCCCCCGCGGGCCATATTCACCATGAACGTTGCCGAAAGCGGGTGCCAGCATCTCGATTCCAGTCGCGACAAACTCTTCAGCTTGCTCTGGTGTAGTGAGAACACCCTCAAGATCTATCGTCTCAGCCACACCGTCTTCACCACCCTCGATTCGCCCGGGCTCTGCCTCCGTCGCGATACCGCGTTGATGACAGTAATCAACAAGCTCGCGAGTAAGAGCCAGATTCTCTTCCTTCTCGTAGTGGCTCATGTCAACCATGATACTGTCAAAGCCATCGGGGATGTCTGCGGCGCGGCGAACCAGCTCTGGTGTCTGGCAATGATCGAGATGCAGTGATACGGGGACTGAGGCGCTGTGGCAGAGTTCTGCTGCGGCTTTGACAAGGGCGCTGCCTGCGTACTCCATCGCCCAAGGGAAGAGCTGCACGACTGCGGGCGAAGAGGTTGCTTCTGCTGCTCTGACGGATGCCACCACAGCTTCGAGATTGTAGCAGCAGAACCCCGCAACAGCATAGCCGCCCTCATTTGCAGCATTGACGATTTCCATCGTTCGGTTTTCGCCGAGAGACGGTCGAACCATCTTGAAAATTGGAGTTTTGACGAGACTTGAGGTAGCTTTACGGTACTCAGTGAGTTGAACTATTGGGAGTGGCGTAGGATCGGCGAACTTTGTGAAACCCTTTTAATTCACTTTTGGAAAGGAACTCAAGGATGTTTACAATCACTAGAACGAGGAGAAAGGAACGAATTTATGTTCAAGTTCCAACGATGAAGCAATTAGAGAAGCTAGATTCGCAACTGTTGTCGATCGGTGATGTGGATTGCGGGGGAATCCAGGACTGGGGCGGAAATGGGCCGATTTTCCGCGCGAGCCGTGGTTACGGAGTGAAATCGGAGCAGTATTCGGTTCGGGAAAAGGCCATCGTCACCCCGAGCTACCGACCTCTACCGAATCAACGGGTTACCTGGATCCGAGGCCATCTCTGATTCGCGGTCACCAATCTGTCTGCTCTTCCTACTAGTACTTAATCTTTGGGGGTCATGTCCCCGGTCACGGATTGCAAGAAGCCGATTACCTCCATCAACATCCTTGGCTCCTCAAACTTGTCTCGACTCTACTGTTAGACATTCTACAACACATACACGCACTGTATTATCCTCCGCCGAAGACACAATGGACCCAAGCAAACAACCCACCGCTTTCATTGGTCTTGGGGCTATGGGGTTTGGAATGGCAACTAATCTTGTCCGTCTTGGATATCCGGTCACAGGATTCGATGTTTATGGGCCGACTCTGGACAAGTTTAAGGCAGCAGGAGGCCTCACAGCTACAAGTCCAGCCGAAGCTGTTATGGGCAAGGAGTTCTGTGTTGTCATGGTTGCCACGGCGGAACAGGCGCAAGGCGTTTTGTTTGAAGGTGACGCTCCGGCCCTATCGGCCCTTCAGCAAGGAGCGGTGGTGCTGTTATGCTCGACAGTACCATGCGCTTACGTTCAAGGTCTTCACAAAGAGCTTGTTGCAAGGAATAGGGGCGACATTGCTCTGGTGGATTGTCCCGTGTCCGGAGGTGCTGCTAGAGCTGCAGCTGGTACTCTATCGATCATGGCCGGCGCAGGAGAGGAAGCTATTCGACGGGGGCTTCACCTGCTGAAGGCCATGTCGGATCCCGAGAAGCTTTACATTGTCAAGGGCGGCATTGGCGCTGGAAGCAACATGAAGATGTGCCATCAGGTACTCGCGGCCAACCAGATCCTCTCGTCGAGCGAAGCGTTGGGCTTTGCAACGCACCTGGGCTTAGATCTCCCAATTACTGGCGAGAAAATCATCAAATCAGAGGGTTGGAGCTGGATGTTTGAGAACCGACTACCACGCATGCTGGACGCTCAATTCGGACCTTTGGCTAGCGCGGTCACGATCATTCTTAAAGACACCAGCATCATTACCTCAGAGGCGCGCCGGGCCGGATTCCCCACTCCGATGACCTCTACGGCGGAGCAGGCCTATTTCTTAGCCCTTGGAAAAGGCTACGGGCCAGACGACGATGCCAGTCTCATCCGATTATACATCGAAGGAGCGGGAAAGGTTGGGCAGGTCAAGCCTACCGTCACGTCCGAAGAAGGCAAGCTGAGCCTCGTCGTCAACCTTCTACGTGGCATCCATCTTTGCGCGGCAGCCGAGGCAATCGCTTTCGCGCGCTTTGTTGGTCTGGACTTGGAGCAGGTTTTTGAGCTCTGCATTAACGCTGCCGGTGGAAGCACCATGCTTTCCGGCGAGGGCCGACGCATTGTGGATGCCATCGCGGCCGGAAAGTCTACACACGATTGGGCTGCCTCTAGTAACGAAAGTCTGCTACAGACAATATCACACGACCTTCAGGAGGCGGTCGATGAGGCACAAAGACTAAAGCTACCGCTGTTTCTCGGAACACAGGCTCTCAACTTGATCCGCGGTGTTTTGCTGACTGCCGGGCCAAATGCGCCTGGTTTGGCACTTGGATCCGTCATCAATGGTTGGACCGCAAGAGGTAACCCCGCGGCATAGTGTGGGATTACGTAGATGGCCCACATCTTGGCACCATTTCACTATCTTTGGACTTGTTTTGGGCGTCAGCGTTCGGCGGTTGATGCAACGAGATAGAGCCATGGGTTCCACGCGGAAAAGTGTTATCCGCATTTCCGTCTTATACACGAGTCATCTCAGAGCTGGAGAGTAATATCGTCAACACAGCGTTTGACTTTGGCAGTGTTTAATTTTACTGAGCGCGATCATCAAACAACTGCCCTAATTCGATTGCAAAACAGTTGTTTCCAGACTTCTACAAAATGACTTTGCAAGTTACATGCATTTCATTCCTGTTGTGACTAACCTGGTTTGGAATTGGCAACAAGTCTTTTGACAAGCAAAACTTCGCCCTCGACTTTTAAAATTTTGCGAGAAGTACTTACAAGTCTGATGACCATTCGCTTGTGATGATCGTTCAATTGCAAAGTTCACATGCGCTAGTAGAGTTGTAAGGACGACAATGGTTGACTAGGAAAAGGTGAACATTGAGAGAAAGAACTTTTGTACAATTATTAAATGACAATGCTGTATCAAACAGCACGGCATGAGTAAAGAAGAAAGCCGCCCAAGAACCTCACCCAAAAGCTCTAATGTTGAATCCAGCAACTATCAGCACCCATATCCTCAAGTATAGCACCGGTTCTCCAAACTCCAACTAACTGGAACTTCTCAAGATTGAAATGCGGCTAGGCCTTGAATGCCTTAGCAACCGAGCGAGGAGCCGCCGGCGCCGGGGCGGGTGGGGGACCAGCGGCTGCAGGTGCTCCGGGAGCAGGGGCCTTGGCTGGGGCAGCGGCCGGAGCGGCACCGGCAGCGGGGACGGGCTGGGCGCCAGCTGCGGGAGGTTGAGCTCCAGCAGCCGGAATGGCATCCGGCTTCTCGGGCTTCTTCTCCTTCTTGCCCTTCTTCTTGCCCTTCTTCTTCTTCTTCTTCTTTTTCTTGCCCTCGGCTTCGACTTCGCCTGGATTTGTGACGTCGTCAACTTCCTCGACCTCTTCGAATTCGTCCATGTCGTCCTCAGGTGTCGCGTCGAGATTCAAGGCCGACGGAGGAGGCTGGAGAGGCTGGGCTTGGCGGGCTATGATGCCAGTGTCATGCAGAGACATATCACTGACGTAATGTCAGCTTGAAGATACGGAACAAGTATTGGAGTGATTACTTACTGGAAAGTCTGGGCATCCTCTTTTTTGGTTACCGAGACCGGAAAGGCGTCGATGCTGACCGCCAGGGCCGACAACGTGAGAAGAGCGTTGAGAAACTTCATCTTGAAGTATCTCGTAGTCGATGTGAGAAGTTGAAGACGGTTAATCAAGAGAGGCTGGAGTGTGAAGTGTGTTGAATGATGAGGAAATAAGAACCAACTTGAGGTGGAAGCTCGCCTAGATCTTATAATAATCCTTTTCAAACGCTTGACGACGAGATAACATATTGAAACCACGATTCTTTGGCAGATAAAAAGAGCATGACAACGGCAGTGACGACAGAATCAGTCGTCTCAACACGCCTCTCAAAGGTTGTCGGTGGTCCAACGGGCTGAGGAACTCAATCAGAGAGCACCGGCCGCCCCACGGAGGCTCCGTGTAACGGCTCGCGAACTCGACAAAGTTCCAAGGCTCACGGTCACTTGGCCCCGGCTTCTCCGTGAGGGCCGTTGATGAGCTGGGCAATTCTCCTCAAAGACGAAGACCAGTGTTCATAGGCAGCCTATAGCGTGATAGTCCACCACCTCTTTGCGAGACTGTGGACGCTGGGGCCACGGCTCTGCGTTCTACGAACACGGACGGTTGGGAACTAAAAGCCGTTCGTCCAGTCTCAACGTCACTTGACAGGCCGGTTTTCTATCAAAGGTGTGCTCGCCGCCCATCCGCGCAGTATGAAAAGCTTCTCTAATCCGAAATATTGTAAGATTTCCTCGGCGAGTACGAGCACGCCGCACAGGGAGCTTTCAACCTCCATCATGAGTTGATATGCATGTCCTCGCGAGAGCCCGAGTGACGTCGTAAGCTCACGTTGGAGCCGCACTACATGAGCTTCCATGCATAGTTCTATGCATGTTTAATTCATTTTGCGGAGCACCTTCAGTCGAGACGCGCACAGTCTCCCCTCTAATCTCGACCGGTACCTTGCGTGCTCCAGCCGTTGATGATGGGTCGCTTAAGTTGTGTTCAGATCAGACTTTGCATTCAAATGAGATTTTCCAACGGCAACGGTAGCTTCCGAGTTGTTCGGGAGCGCCGTGATGTCCAAGCCATCATTGAAGCCATCTCCTGAGCTGAGACATCGGGGAAGGCTTCCCGACTTGACCGCAAGGTTTGACCCTTTCATTTAGAAGAATGCCAATTGATTATCCCAGAATTTGCACCGAAGGGCCTCGAAAACCTTTTGTGTGACCTTTTGATGTTATCTCAGTTCCTACAAGCCATCCACCAAATCCTAGCATCCAGAAGGCGAGGAGCAGAGTATCGACCGAGGTGGAAGCATTACCATTGGGGTTGGGAATTGTACATTTGCGTCTAGCCCGTTGCATATGTTCTTTGTTGCCCGATTGCAGGATAATATTCGGGAGGCTGCCTCTTTCTTTGGGAAAGTATGTCTGTCCATGGTTCTAACTAAAGCTTTCTTACCTATATCTGGATAAACTTTGGAGAGGATGTTCCGAGTTTCGCAGTACCGGACAAATTGCTTTGAAACGCCGTCTCGGCACAACTTAGGTAAGGCACTAGCCATGGAAACCTTACCCAAGTTTTCATATCATCACAATTCAGAACTTTTGGTGTGCTGAAAGTCGGCAGGAAGCTGAAAAGGTGGATAGTGCCCACTGATAGCTCACAGACATAAGTCGCATGCACTCATGTTTTGCCACACGAGATGATTTGGATGTGAGCAAATTAGATCACAGGAACACTATGCAAGATTTTTACTTGCCTGCAAATCGAGCCATGTGTACATGACGCTATGTGTGTTTGCAATTCATCCCCGTTGAGTCCCCCGACTTGAGTGTTTGTCGATCTGCACGGTTCGGCCCGAGAACACGAATGATACAGGACCGCTTGCAACGTGGAGGCAGAAAATAGCGAGAGGTATTTGTTAGCAATATGCACGAGCGACGCTGCAATCAACCCACGTTGCCCGGATTGAGTCGTCACGCGATGTTGGTATTTTCGTTTCCATCATCTTTGATTGAGTTCTAGAAGAGTAGCTGCGGAGGAATCCGCATCGCGTGTGCTGCGGTCAAAGAGTACATGGTGCATGGATCATCTGATAGACTGAGCATATGACAGGCGCGCTCAGTGAGCTTGACTTCGGAACTGGTTGCTTTACTTTCGGTTTCGGCATTATATCATCAGCAAAGCCATTGGCATAACCTACGGTCTTAACTGAGGATATGCGTGCATTCTACTGACTTACATCCATGACGTTACGTACCTTGTCGAATGGCTTTCGTAGGTTGCTGAGATTCCCTGCGCTTGCCATAGATCTCCCTTTCCAATGAGAAATTCAATTGTATTGATTCTTCTTCCACGTTTGGGTATTGTTGGAAACGGTTTGAACCCTGTGGCTGAACAAGCTTGGACATGATGGCGGCCCAATTTTTCGAAGCATACCAGTGATCTGAAATCCTAATTGTCAAGTAAATTATGACCCTGAAAGTTTATGATCGGTCTCCCAGCTTTCTGTGCCGGGCTCGTACAGTTGTTTCCACGCCTGCTTGTGCTCTTTGTCCCTGCCTAGGTGTCTCGCGACTCTACGGCCGCGAAAGATTCGACAGTGTCGGCAATACAGTCTTCCAAAGTCCGATATTCCATTCCTAGAATGTTCACAGAACATTGAGTGCTGATAGCAAACACGTCTTCTGGAAATTCTAATCTGTTGTCAGTGGTTGTGATTATGACAGAGCCTGTGTTCTCAAAGCACTTATCGCCACGCGGCAAATGTTCCGATGGCAGACTATGACGATATTTGGCAGATCTTTTCCGAATTATGCCAATGATATCACGGTTCGAATAGTGGCCGTTGGCGACGAAAAAGCGTTTGTTCCCGGCCTCGGGCTCTTCCATGGCCCGTACGTGGGCCAAAGCTATATCACGGACACCGGCAAAAACGGGATACTGGTAGATATGAGCATACTTCTTGGTGGATTAGGGTCATATGAGAAGGTTGGCCTCGGCAGCGGGTATTGTGGTGTCCATCGATCCGTAGAGAAAGCTTCTTATGAACTGGTTTGACTCGCTAAGGGAGTCCACATCGTTCAGATGTTGCAGCACCGGACCGGAAACAAGAGGGGGCAAAATGACAGACAGCGTGAAGCCCGGGGACTCCTCACTCTGAACGTTCCACGCCACCTTCTCTGCGAATGTTTTGCTTGCTGCGGTATCTTGTTAGGGGCATATGTGTAGACTGTGAGCTCTAGGTCGGAATTAGCTTACCTGCGTAGCCGCTAGCTGGGTTCTCCAGTGCTTCCTCGGCTGTGATGGGGTTCCAGTCTGTCTTGTCATACTTATGGACGGGCCAAAGACCCTTTGACATATCCAACATAGAGACAAAGGACCCCGTAGTTACCTGAGACGACATGGGATCAGCCGATGTTGCAACGTGCCTGAATAAGGGTTGGTCCGTACCACTCGCTTAACCGTCGGGGCTCCCGCCTTGATAGCTTCAAGAATATTGGTGGTCCCACCAACAACTGGATCGATCAAGTCTGCCTGGATATTCTCGACTTCGTATGTGATGGGGCTCGCAGTGTGCATGACGGGATTGAATGGGGGATTAGATCGAACGGCCTCGTCAAATGCCCCAGGTTGTCCAACGTCGGGAACGAAGACAAAGTCTAGCTTATCGGGCGAATATTCAGAAAATGATTAACTGATAACATCTGCTTTGGCTTGGCTCCGGACAGCTGCAATCACCGTGTGGCTAACCGTATGTCAGTGAGGGCTGACCAGTAGCACCTTGATAATGTGCATGGCGATGAAGCCGCTGCCGCCGGTAATAAGGAGCACATATGCCATGTTCTGTGATCTCACGGGGGTAAAGTTGGCTATAAGCTTGCCGAGTGGCGAGGAGCTACCCGCAATCTAGCCTACCTTAATTGCGCGCTTCCGTTGCCCGGGCCCGTTTCGAATTACTGCCATGGTACAATAACATCGGCTATCTTTCGCTATCTACCTTGACGCCTTAGTAAGGTAGATATATCTCTTGGCTGTAGGGTCAAATTGCGGCGGCCAAAATAAAGAAGGTCTTCCTATCCCCCAGCTTTTTACAACGCTGACATTCTTCTGTTACGTCTACCAATACTATGTATTGAGCTAAAAGCTTCCAATGCAAGTATCAGGGACCAAGTTTATCTCTTGCTAGATGCGTTCAATGATTGGATACGTGCCCATGCGGTTACCATGTCGAAGGTCGCACACAAGCAGAAAGATTGCTTCATCAAGTTGGGAGCAATATGCAACTAAAACCTAGCGTTTGTACGTCGCGCGATTGTCTAGAACACTATAGTAGGGACTCGACACAAGTATCCTCCGCGGATGTCCCATAGTGACTATTAAAGAAGTTTGCTTTCTAGAAGTTATTCTAAAATTCCATAAAAGTGCTGGGCCTGTAAAGTGTTATCTGAGAAATCCAGTACCGCCATCGTGCCAAGGCCCGATCCAGCGCGGTCCATCTCGTTCGACGTGGCGATAATTGCCAACCTCCTACATCTATCTGCTCCTGTAGATTGCGCCATGCCGTTGATCTTGTTAACGAAAGGCAGAGATTAATTACCAAGCTTGCTACTGGGACTTTCCTAGGGGGCTCGATGCAATGGAGGCTGGGCTGAGCTGGTCTGCTTCGTCTCAAATCTAGAAGCAATACCCGTCCATGACCATCAACTAGTAAGAAGTCGCTTCTATGATAAATCTCTTGGACTTCTGAGGTGATACTGAAGACTATAAGTCTATGGGAAATAGTGCAACGTGGGAGAATAGATGAATATATCGCTTATGTAATGCTACACGGGGAGGGCATTTCCACGCCATCCATCGTCGCTCCCCTCAAAATATTTATACAATAAAGTGAACGCGGCGTGACACCCTGGGGTGGACACTGAGCACTAGTTGATATCTTTGTATTTACAAGCTCAGGATGCGACAAGGAGATTCAGGGTTGACCACCCATTTCACCACACAATAGCAGAGGGCAATCAGCTTAGGTGCACTAAGGAGCGTCCAGAGTCAGCGGCCGTTAGGATAAGTTATAAAAACGAAATTATGCTCACGCTGTAGTAGGGAAGGTCGGTCTTCCACGAGTACTTGGTGCAGGGGCCGGAGGGGGTTTCGTAGCACTAGAATCGTAGTATCATTAGTACATGCATGGTAATTTCTAGAGGGGGCTGGAAGCCGTGCGTACAATCCATCCACCGCTACCGGGGATCTGGCCAGTGTTCCAGGTCAACTTCTGGTTCGAGTAGCACGGGCTAGGAGCCGCTCTCGCCTCAATAGGGGCGGCGGCCACATCCACGGCGGGAGCAGCAACTGCAAGCGAGGCAAAGACGAGGATCGCGTTGAGGAACTGCATGGTTGCGATAAAGACTGTGATGTAATTGGATGATTTTCGATAGTGGGCTGGAGTAAAGGATGTTCCTCCGTGGGAGTAGCTATCTTCTTATATATGTTTTCTTGTATGTGGGCTAAAGAGTCCGAGGCGACCTCGGAATACCAAGAGGAGTAGCAATCTAAGTCATCAAGAGAATCGCAAAGTATAACTTATGAGCCTCATGTCCTAGTTTCACGGGGGAAGCATACTAAATGGTTTACGGAAAGCTCCTTCTCACTAAGGATACTGCTTCTAGTCGAGGTGGTAGGGTGTTCCGGGAGGCATGAATCGCACTGGTGGGGCTGGAACGACGGGTCTCCCCATGTTTTTGCGATGCTGTGGCTAAGCCTAGGTGTTTGAGAGTTCTTCGGCGCGTGCTTTCCCTGCCACTTACTTTTTAGTAAGTATGGCCGCAACACGGCGATTTCATCCCGCCCGAGAGTATTAATTCTGGGAAAAGATCGAATCGTGGAAATGATCGTGGGGCGAACCCGTGTCGCTAAGCCTTGCCCTTCATCTAGGTGAATAAAGTTAAGTTTTTCCAAGCTCTGTAATTATTGTACGGATTTACGTACAGTGTCTATATTCACAACGAGAGTGTCGACAAGTGAAACAGGGGAGAAAATCGCTGCGTACGGGTCGCGACGTGTACTTCGTAGAATACCTTACTCATGGTGGGGTTAGAAGCTTCGGTCTCGGATTCCCCGTAAAAGGCCGTCGCCACCGGCTCCGACTCGGATTTAGATTATGTGGGCTTCCTCATTCTGGCATGATATCGCTCCGCAGATCTATATTTCCTTGTTATTTACACCATAGATACTAAGCTTTTGGGCTCTAGGGCAATTGTTTTCCTATGCTTACTGTTGCCGGAATGTGGAAGTCCAATTCGACCATTGAGTCAGAAGGCCCGCTAGGACCACATACATGTATCACTCCATGTCACGACTCACGGAACATCAAGTGACTTCAACGTCATGATGGAAATAGCGGGACTGATTAGGCTTGCATCACAGACTGGAACTCGATGTTGGCATGCCATCTCCCGCCACCTAGAGCTCGAAGATTGTTCTCCCAGCATCCAGGTCTGCGCCAAGCAGAAAAGGCGGACCGCCTTTAGCTTCAACTATAGCAGCAGCGCAAGCCACCTACTGAAGGAAACCCCAGCTTACCTGGAGACAAAACCAAGTACTTTTGGAGGTGAGAACCCAGCAGAATAAAGGCCTTCTAATCGACGGAAAGCCCCGGGAGTGGTAGATTAGGCTGTGCATCTTTCGCTATCCTGGGCAAAGATTGCTGTGATCATGCTACCAATGGTAATTACATTTTTCTGGAGAGACAATATTACTTGCTTGCCAGTCTCAATGCTCAGAGTAGCACCCATCTATCCTTGGTTCTCGTTCCTACCTTTTGAAGATGGTGATGATGATGATGATGAAATGTTTAACGCCGGTTCCAACCCACAAGGGGTAAAGGGCGCCTACGCTGGCTGCGGGACAAGATGGTGGATAATGCTACAAGATCATTGCTTCTCAATGATCCATCTCATCATGTACTTCTCGACCTCGTGTATCCCCCGATACGTTTCCGCCAAGCTCTCATTACCCGTGATTCCAAGCCCCCCCTCATGTTGAGCAATCTCCTTAGACCAGTAGTCGTTATCGATGGTCCAAGTTCCAAGGTCCTCAAACCCCAACTTCTTGTACAGCCCATATCCTTCTGCCGAAGCAATAAGGAAAGTCGGGATTTCATCACCATCACTGATGTCAATGACTGACTTGAGTAACTTTGCCCCAATGCCCTTTCTTTGATGATGAGGATCCACCATTATGTTCTTCACATCTGGTAGCGATGTCAACACTTCCGGCACTCTCGTCAACAGTAGGTTGGCGGCCAGATCATGTCCTAGCCGGTGCTCATTTCGGAGTCCTTACAATTATGTTTCCGTCCATCCACTGCCTTTTCGTAACATTCATCCATCTCTTCCTCTCTCGGGTGGCCGAAGCGCTCCCACAATTTTTTCATGTGAGGTTTGATTGCGAAAATGGACGGCACGGTGGGTTCGGTATCCGCACTTTCCGTTGGCTTTTCCAGTGTGGTTGCAGCAGGCGGCTCTGTCGCATCGACGACGTGGTATCTGATGAAACCCACGACGGCATCTGTGTCGGGTACGACAGCAACCAGGAAGTAGTTTTGAGGATTCTCCAAAGCGAGTCGCGTTGAAAGTGGGAGGATCTCCCTCGGATGGCGCTCGAAGAAAGCTCCATAGAAGTCGTGAAACTGCTCGAGGGCTGCATAATGTACGGCGGCGATGGCATCTGCGTCTACCGTGGTCGCTAGCCGAATGTGCATTGACGATTCTGGTGCCATTGAGATAGGCGCGGCACAGTCCTTGATCGACCAAGATGCGCCCTTGGGTTTCTTGATGAGGACATTCGGGGCAAGAACGTGTGCTGACGTTGGGGCTTTATGTAAGTAGTGAGGCTTACGTGCGACCGGAATGCTTAGTGTCGCGGAGGATTATCGCGCCAATCACTTTTTGGCTGGCCGCTCTTCGGCCGTTCCGAGTGCGGATTGGTCCGGGCCCGAGGTGTGGAGCATGCCGGGTGACTCACCGGCCGAACATTTGCACGGCCGGAGCAATCTTGCAGACAGACCTCCTCACTCGAGTTAGACCACGTACGAGCGACGACTATCTTGCAGACGACTTTCTCTTGCTATTCAAAACGATATCCTGACATGAAGATTCACAAGGTGTCTAAACAACTTTCATGATGGGTTATGAAAGGGTCTCAAGTCGTCGGGATCCGGGACCGCGGGCGTGTTCCATGGCCATGTCGAACACAGCGGTGACCAATCTTGCACTTGAAACCGTTACTTTGAGAACCTAAACCACCTTCAAAGAGCTTAAGCTACCTTACCTTGGACATTCGCTTGAGAACCTTGATGTAGAACTTTGCAATCAAGGTTCGAGGCTACCGTATAACTGCGAACGCCACGTCTTTGATGTCAGGTGTTGCCATCTCCCAGCCTTTCTCAAACATGTATAAGTACGACCCTCTCAACAGACTATTCAGCGGTCAAGCCCATTGAGTTCATTGAGTAAGGCACCTTACCTACTCTACAACTGCCGGAAGTAGCCACCTCGGTCTTGGTTTAACTTTCTTCCGAATCCATCATTCCATCATTCCATCATGGACAGCCCAACAAAAACCAACGATGAACCGACCTATGAGACTACTGATCACACCAAAAGCCAAGAAGCAGTTGAGAAACTGACCTCCTACCTCTCACTTACAACACAACTGGATTCCGAGTCACTTCTGAGATTGCAAGAAGGACAAGTTGCTGAGCGAAGAACCGAAGAACTTGAACAGATCGGCGAGGGATTTTGCGCTACCATATACGACTTTGGGAGCACCGATCAAGTTATCAAACAGGCGAAAGAGCTGAGGAAATTTCCAGAACTACTGGTCGACTACGTCGCACATCAGAAGGTCTATGCCGCCGGCCTCCATATGGCGTTACAAGTCTGCATTCCCCGTCCAGCGGAATTCGTCAGACCTGAACAGCTCGGCGAGTGGTACAATGAACAAAGAGCATCGGGTAAGCTTCCGGATGACCGAACCCTCATCAGCAGGAACATGGCGGTCCTCGTGTCTGAGAGAATCCCAGCACTACCTCTGGAGATTCGTAGAGCCCTCATCGAAGTTTTTTGTCCTAGGGAGCAGAGAATAGCAGCTCGTGTTATTCAAAGAAACAATAACTGTCTTTCCCGATTGTATCTGGGCCGGCGTCGACAGAATACCAGAGTCGAGGGAGGATTCGAGCTGCGCAACTTCGAAATGACCTTGGATAAGATGGAGATACTCAACCTCGATCCACTTCAATATGTGGCACCAATGGCAGAAGCCTTAGCATTCATGCACTGGGAGACCAAGCACGATGCATTCGACGTCGAGTTCGTCCTCGCCTCATCGCCCAAACCAACAACTCAAACCGCGGAGTGGGCATCAGTCAAGACAACCCGGGAGCCTATCGAAGGATCTGAAGTTCAGCGAAAGGCTGTGCAGGTGTGGCTTTTAGACTTCAACCAGGTCGGAGAGATCACAATGGACAACAAAGGAGTAGGAAGAGCAGTGAGAGGGTTCTGGGATAATGATCCGTACTATCCTAGGCCAACTTTGGAGGAAGACTCGCACACTACCGAGGCAAAGCTGTGGCGCAAGTTCAAGCAGGTGTACCTGGCGACCTCATCAAAAATCTTGAAAGACGATGAATTGCCCACGACCTTCATTGAGGCGGTCGAACTAGAAGGCAAGAAAAGATTGGTATGCGCTCCCGTGCTTCAGGGTCCACCGAAGGCATCGGCAGTTGTGACTATGCCACTGCGATCCAGTGGTAAGAAGAAGCAGAGGAGTTACGTTGACTTCGATGAGTAGAAGTCGCCATTACATAACCGACATATCTACCTCAGTCTGGGCTGGCCTCGGGGGCAAATCGGAGGCCAGGATAACCGCAACTTCATCTCTTTAATAAAAAAAAAGGCTCTACGAGAAATAGTCTCGAACCCCAGACCCCTAGAATAGCATCAATCAACATTCGATATCTTCATGCTCAGCTTAACCACTTGACTAAATGGCCTGTCACCTGACCGGCCGGCGGGGCAAGATCGTGCAGTGGGGCCGGGAGACCGGATGGAATTTGCTCCACCGCCGTGAATCACCGGGTGCCGAACAAAGCCTCACCGGGAGGTACACCCTTAATCACCTAAAAGAAGGTGCATTAACAAGTATCTTTTGGAGTGAACATGTTCGGATAACAAAAAAGAAAGGCTTGGCTGGAATTAACTCACCCTCGCCGCACTCAGCGCTGGATCTGCTCCCGGCGTACCTCAAAGCATCCCGTCGAAAACTGAGGCCAATGTTGAAATTTTCGCCCTCTTTTGCAATTAAGTAACCCCTCCTGGCCATCGAGAATTCGCTTCACCATCTTTCGTGTCTTGCCATGATGATGATCGTCTTGCAGCCCCAACACACTAAATGCCCGAAACTTCTCAACGTTGCACCCGTGAGTCGTGACTCGTTTTGGAAGAATACGCGATACAGGCCTCATTGCCTTTTCTTTTCCCACCATCATCGCAGCCAGGTGCTTTCATCCATGAGTCTGTAAAATATGATGGTCTCTCATCCTCTCCGGTCTGGCTCAATACCGTCATGGGCAAACAGCTCCATGCCGTATCTTCTCCGTCATCTTCTTTATCAATAATACTAATCTTGTGATCGTATCCGAGTGCAAGAGTCTTTTATTATACACCAAAGGTATGCATTGAGATTAATGCCATTTGATATTATATCTTCGACCAGTTTCTTTGTACCTATGGGAGATTAAGCTTTAGCAGAACACATGTAGTCAGCCAAAACTGGAGAGCTGCTCTGGTGTGCTGGGACACCTGGCACTATCTAATCGGACAGCCACCCCTGCGACAACAAGTACCTACAGTACTGCAGCCGATATCATTGTTGGTATCTCCGGAAAATCTAAAACAGTACTGCGTTCGTTTGTCAGTTCATTTTGATTCGAGCTGTCGTTCCTGACAACGCGGGCTCATGGTGCTTGGATTCAGCATGTCGGCCAAGGAGGCAGCCAGACGCCCCAGATAAAAACGGGCCTGCCGAGGACATCCCGAACGGTCTTCGTCGTTGGAAAAGCTGTGTCACAGACAGTGACTTTGGGAATATATGAAGCTGCGCAATGCGTTGTTAGCAATAGGAAGTCAATTCCTGGCAACCCTTCAGCTCTGCCGACTTGGCCTTCTTAGCACACGGCAGTTTCGAAGCAGAGATCACGTTCTCGTTGAAACGTACTGGCGACTGATACTAGTTGCACAGCCAAACTAGTTGGAGTCTCAGCAAGGCTGGTCCCAGTAAGATTTCTTCGAGCCAACGTGTCCAGTTTCTTACAGCAACGGCAGTCAGCTGGGTCTACGCCAAATGCTTGGCGAAAGACTGTATTAGAAGACTGTACTAGATGGTCTCCAAGAATTTTAAGCAGACTCGCATAGACTAGGCTGCCATTGACATATGAGAAACTGATCCAGTCAAGAGATGCAGCCTTTGTTGTCTATGGTTCAAAGAGACTTCCCGTCTTACATCAGCAATACGACGTAGAAAGCGGCAACTGGTTTAGTACTCATCTAGCAAATGCGCAATCTGCACCTCGGGAGAGACGGGATGACACAGCCATAGAAGTCGAATTCTATCCAACTTTCATGGTGAATTTGACCAAAAGCGGACAACTATCAACGCAGCATCGTCCAATGGAACACCATACAAGCCATGCGATCCCATTTCCAGCCGAACCAAGAACCCCAATGAAAATATCTATTATCAAGAGCGGCTGCCGTCCCCGACAAGAAACCTTAATGGAAGAAGGTTTTCATGTAACAGTCGAGGTTTTGCAGTAGTCGTATCTGCCGACCCCTCCCCTCCCACATCGACGTAGTCACGCTAATCAATAACAGCTTAACCCCCGCCAGGTTGCATCGAAATAAGGGGATCAACCCCGGTTCCGTACCCTTCTCGATGGCACACTCGACGTTACTCCAATCACACGGCGACATCTCTTCAAAAGTTCAATCAGCATTGCTGCTTGTCGTTAAGCTTCTGAAGTGTTCCCCCGCTCGGACCAAAGCTCGGATACTCTGTATCCAAATCTGTATATCAATAGCCCGTGCCGTGTCACGGCATCTTCGAGATGAACCATTAACATTCCAACCGCCACGTTTCTGAACTACTATTGAACAGAAGCAAGCCGGTTTTTCTCAGCTTTTTCCAAGAGTTCAGTCTCTTTGCGCAACTTCAAAATGTCTTACAACGAATCATCCAACATGGGCCGAGACCGGGAGATGAAGATACGGATGGCCCAGGAGGCCAAAGCTGTCATCGAGTTCGAAGAGGATCCTCACCGCGCAGCGCTGGAGGATAACCCGTCCGAAGCAAAAGTTGGCATCAAAACATGGATCGCAATTTTTGTAAGGCCACATCATTTCATCTCTGCAGCGTTCCTAGTGAATCTCAGCTAACGTGCATAGTCTATGGCTCTGTCCTTCGGTCCATGTGTTGGACTCGCGTTCCTCACGGTTGCTGCGGTCGTCGTGCAAATTGCTACTGAGCTCGGTGGACAGGACCAGTTGGCCTGGCTCGTAGGAGCATGGTCTCTTTCGACAGCATGCTCCTTCTCCCTCGCGGGACCTCTCAGCGATGTTTTCGGTCGAAGAATGTTGGTCATTGGTGGCCAAGTCACAGTTGTCATCGGCTCCATCGCTGCGGTGGCCGCGCAGAATATCGGAACGCTCATTGCCGCTGAGACGCTCATCGGCATCGGAACTGGCTTCGTTTTCGTCTCCTACGCAGGCGTCCCGGAGATGCTGCCTAACAAGTGGCGTTCTCTTGGTCTTGGTATTTTGGAATCTGGCATCGCTGTTCCCTGGTAAGTCTGAACATCTGAACATCTGACCCTTCTTTTCCCGTGTTCCGTGTCGCATGGTTCGAACGCCTCCCCGAGTCAAGGAACTTTCTTTCTTACCCCAAATCCTCGGCACATATATCTGGGTGCCGACTCCAGGCGCCCTGCCGACCGCACCTCCTTCACAGATCTGAACGTGGGGAACCCCCGCACTTCGACTAATCGATCAAAACCTGGGGTGTTCGTCTGCCGAGAAAGAGCCAAGGTAGCTGACATTTAGAATTCACAGGGGCATCCTCTCCGTCCTACTCGGCAATGCGTTTTTCAAGTACGCTTCGTGGAGATGGATATTCGGCCTAAGCATCATCATTGAGGTCATTTCTATCGTCGGCACTTGGTTTTCTTACCACCCAACCCCGCGGCCCCGGGGCGACTTTGACAAGACTCGCATGCAGCAACTCAGGGATGTAGACTGGATCGGTTTGTTCCTGTTCACGGCCGGTCTGGCCATTGCTCTCATCGGCCTGACATGGGGTGGCACCCCGGCCTATCCATGGAATAGCGCCGGCGCCATTGCACCCATCGTCATTGGCTTCGCGGTCTTAGCCGTTGGCTTTGCATACGACTTCAAGGTTGCTGCTCATCCGATGTTTCCGCTGAAGCTCTTCGTCATGTTCCGTCGCTACTCAGTCCTCCTTGTTGTCCTCTTCGTGTCGGGTATGAACTTCAACTCCATGTCAGCCCTCCTACCGCAAGGATTCCTCTACATGTTCACGACGGATGGCATTGAAATTGGTGCGCTCTCACTGCCCAACACCTTGATGATTGGCTTCACCGGTGTTCTTGCGCCCCTCATCGCCCACAAAGTCGGCTACATCAAGTGGCAGCTTGTCATCGGCATGGCATTCCAGGCACTCTTTATCGGCGCTAGTGCTGCGACTGTTTACCCGAACCACAAGTTTGCATATGCTTTCATCCCTGCGTTTGGTGTACCCATGTTCGTCTGGGTCACTATCTTGTCTTATGCTGTTGCCAGTCTTCACGTTCCGCACTCAAATTTGGGAGTGGCGATGGGCTTGTTGGGTACCTTCAGATCAGGAGGTGGCGCCGTCGGCAATGCCATCTTCAACACAATCTTCCAAGAAAAGTTCCGCGAATTCGCTGGCGAAGAAATCACCAACGCGGCCATTAGCAATGGGTTGAACCCATCCGACCTTGGTATCATCATCCCTGCGGCAATCGAGTTCAACTTGGGCAACCCTCGAGCATTGGTCAATGTTCCCGGCATCACTCCAGAGATTCAAGATGCTTTGAGAGAGGCCGTACGTGAGGGAGCAGGCCATGCCTTGAAGATCGTCTTCTACATAACCATTCCCTTCAGTGTTATTGCCTTGATCTGCTCTTTGTTTATCGAAGACCCCACGGCATATATGACGAACCATATTCAGTCTGCTATGGGGCAAGAGATGGCCCAGAATCGTGGCAAGCGGGCTACCACTCCTGAAGAGGGCCAGGCAATCGAGTTTGAAACCGTAAGGACGGTTCATTCGGAACAGATTACGGTAAAGAACTAAGAAATCGCATCAATTCAAGACGCCCTTGACCTGGGACACTGGTCCCACTTCCAATTAGGACCTATAAGACATCGGGAGAGACGTAATGTTTAGAATCAAGATTTAGGATGGTATTTATTCTGCATGTATGAGTCAATACATTGTATATGATTTTCACAAGATCAAAAGACTGTACGACTGAACTCTTACGTGTCTTTTTCTCCTTGTCCTGACATGGAGCAAGTTACCTTACACATAGCTGGCATGGTGAGGCGATTCTCGCTTCGAATCAGACTCTCGGCCTGTGGGGCCGCGGATGCCGCCTGCTGATCGGGATACATGACCCAACTCGGAGGTCATCCACCGATCGGTTCGCGCCCCAGCCGCTTTCCGTGGGATTTCCCTGTCATAGCAGGATTACG